AGGCTCGGGGGAGAGCAGGGTTTACGACAAGCTTTTAAAATTGTGCCCGTGGCAGCCGGAGCCCCCACCCCAGTCTCTCAGAGCTGCCTGACCCCACACCCGCCAGCAGCCCTGATCAGCAGCTGACATTCTTCCCTTCCTTTGCTTAATGGGTCCTGGACGGGGACCCCAGCAGGATGCCGCCAGAATCATAAAATTACATTTATAACAAAGCTACCTGCAAGCTGTGTGAGCCACGCAGGAGGCAAGGCGACTGCATTCCTGATCATTCCCCAGCTCCTCCCTTCACCAAGAGAAACTCATCTCACCCACTACCGGGCTCGAATGTACCACAGCAGGAAGGAGGCCCGGGAAGGGAGGTGCCTGCCATGGACCGGTCACACCCACCTCCAGGATGGGGAACTCATCCCCCCAAACCCCAGGGCTGTTCCCACACGGGGGCTGGGGGTGCAGGGAGGAAGGCGTCAGCCCCTGAGAACACCCATCCGTGTCGCCTTCTAGGGTTCCCAAATGGAGGGACACTTCTCGGGCCGTTTCTAATTTTGCAATGACTTAGAGGAGGCTCATGTGGGCTTCCGGGCGGGCGATGGGGGCACCCTGGCTCTGTGCTTGCCCCCTGCTAGAGACAAGCCTGCTCTTCCGGGCCGCCCCTGCCGGCCCAGTGCTCTCCCTCACGTCACCCTCACTTCCCTGAGCACCAAACAGGGGCTCTGAGCCACACTCCTGAGTCCAGACCGGCTCGGAATCACTTGGTCCTCCCCAGACCAACAGGCTCCCCTGGCTGCTGCCTGGGCGGGAGGGGGCAGGGCTGACGCCTAAAGAGGCAGGTCGCCATCCTGGGCTTGAGTCCCAACGCTGCCCCTTTCTTTTGTTTTGTTTTTTTTTAATCCTGGCCAGAGGATATTCCTCCACTGTTTTCAGAGAGAGTGGGAGAGAGGCAGATAGACACATTCACTGGCTGCCTCCTGCACGCCCCCCACTGGGGATGGAGCCAGCAACCCAGACACGTGCCCAGCCACAATGAAACTCAGGACTCTTCAGTCCACCCATGATGCTGCATCCACTGAGCCAGACCAGCTAGGGCCCAGCACTGCAGCTTGACTGCTTTGGACCTCCCATGCTGAGATTTGAGCGCCTCCTCCTCCTGCTGCTAATGGTAGCGCCCACTCACCCAGCACCCACCTGGTGTCAGCCGCTACCCTGAGTACTTGCTCATATGTATTAGCGAATGTGGTCCTCCCGGCAACTCTGGAGGTGAGCACCATTACCATCCCCCCTTCATGGGCTTGAAGGGGGCTTGCTTGCCACCTGGGGTGCAGGACAGCTGGCATTAGGGCGGTGCCCTCTTTCTCTTTAACTTCCTTCTATTTACTCTTGCCTCCGTTCCTCCTCCTCTGCCCTCCACAGTTGGCCGCTTTGCTGTGCTGGCTGGTGCTGCTTGTAGAGGTTCTTGTAAGAGGCGTGTAGGGCAAGGATTCTCTTGTTTTTCTTCATTCACATCCACCCATGGTATGGTTCCTCTCAGAACGCTGCTGTGTGTCCTGCATCCACCCGGCCTGCTCTTCCTAATCATTGCATTCCTAATGCTGTGAGAGACCAAGGATTGGAACCAACTTCCAAAAAGATGCTCAGAAACACCTTTCAGCGCTTTCCCTGGGGACACGTGGGAGAATGTCCCCGGGGCTGATGTCAGGAGCATGACTGCCGGGTCCTGGGGTCCAAGGTGCCTGATCTCTCTACACACGGAGCCACAAGCAGTCTATTCTCCAGTCAGAGATCATGGTCCCCTTTGCCCATGTTCATCGGCTTCCTGATGTCTGCAGATACGGTATCACATGCTCTCATTATCCTAATTCACCTCTTAATTAGCCAAGAGCTTGTGTTAGATCTCTCTCTTATTGGATCATGGGGTTTCCTCTTCCAGGAATAACCGATTCAATGTCCTCTGCCCCTGTTCTTTTGGGGCTCCTGTCTTCTTGCTGATTGGGCAGAATTCCTTGTTCCTTGTTCTGCCCTATGGCCCAAGTCCCTTGTCAGTTTTAGACACTGAAATTAGCTTCTCCCGGTCTTCATGTTAATCCTATTAGCTCTCTCCCGGTGGTCTTCGGGGCAGAACGTGTGATGCAGTGGGCCCACGCGATCTCTCTGCTTTATGGTTCGTGCTTGTAGGCCGTGGCTTAGGAAGTCTTTCTCCACCTTTAGGTCACGGAGGTACTTTCCTACATTTACCATAAAGACTTTATGGCTGCACCTTATACTAGTACATGTAGGTCCTTCATCTGTTCCAAGTATACGTTTGTCATATGGCACTAGTTTTATAGTTGAACATACAGTGATTGAACTCTATCTCCTTCCCCCCCTTTAAAAATGTTTTTATTAATTTCAAAGAGGGAAACTTCAATGATGAGAAAGAATCATTGATTGGCTATCATCAATAAATGAATAAATGACAAGTGCTGGTAAGGATGCAGAGAAACAGGAACTCTGGGCACTGCTGGTGGGAATGCAGACTGGTGCAGCCACTGTCGAGAGCAGTTCCCTCAAAAAACTAAAAATGGAACTCACTCCCAATTTGACTCAGTGATCCCATTTCTAGGAATATATCCCAAGAAACTAGAAACACCAATCAGAAAGGATATATGCACCCCTATGTTCACAGCAGCACAATTCAGCATAGCTAAGATTTGGAACCAGCCTAAGTGCCCATCAGCAGAGGAGTGGATTAAAAACCTGTAGTACATTTACACAATGGGATACTGCGCTGGATGACTGCTGCGGTCACCTCCATCCTGCCAGAAGCCTCAGGCGGCCTCAACCCCGACCCACCCCCCTCCTCTGCCGAGACCTCCGACGACTCCCAACATGCTCTAGGCCAGTGTTTTTCAACCTTTTTTGGGCAAAGGCACACTTGTTTCATGAAAAAAATCACGAGGCACACCACCATTAGAAAATGTTAAAAAATTTAACTCTGTGTCTATATTGACTATATATAAAGTAATTCTCTTGAATAGGAATCAAATAAACACAAAGAAAGTATTTTATAATTACTTTATTATGAAATATTAAGTAAACAAAATAGTGAAAAATTGTAAAATTCTTGTCTGCACCTACGGCACACCAGGCAACATCTAGTGTGCCGCGGAACAGCGGTTGAAAAACGCTGCTCTAGGCACTCACCACCGCGTCACATTCTGTGACTTGGTATTTCTGCACATTTCCCTCAACTGCACTGTAAATGTAAGCCTTGAGGACAAGGATTATTGTTTTGCTCACTGCTGACCTCAAATGACTCCCCTACCCCCCCAAACCATGCACAGCTTCAGGGCAAGGTCTGTCTGTTTTAATCATATGTATACACACACACACACACACACACACACACACACACACAGGAAAAAATTTACTATAAGGTATTGGCTCATGCAATTGTGAAGGCTGAGAAGTCTCACGACCTGCCCCCAGCTACAAGCTGGAGACGCAGGAAGCCAGTGGGGAAGCCCGTGGGTAGTTCAGTCTGAGTCCAGGGGTCTGTGAGCAAGGAGCCCTGAGGGCGGAGAAGATGGGTGACCCAGCTGAAGCAATCGGGTAGGAAGAGCTGAATTCCTTCTTCCTCTGGGAAGAGCCTGTGGACAGATGACGCCACCCACACTGGGGAGGGCAAACTGCTCGGAGTCCAAGGCTTCGAGTGCTCACTTCACTCAGGGACATCTGACTCTCCCAGACAAACCAGAAATAAGGTTTAGCCAAATAGCTGGGCACCCCAAGATCCAGGCAAGTTGACACATAAATTAAGCAATGCTGACTCACTCTGTCCACCATGCCTAGGATGTGAGCATTCCGTGCTTTCCTCTGTCTCTTCACTCAGCAGCAGACAGAGGCAGCCATGGACGTACCAAGTGCCAGGACCCAGAGTGGCCTGGAGTAGGACGGGGTGGTTTCGTCACCCCGAAGGCCAAGACTGACAGGTCAGATCAGGATGACCTAAAAACCGGAATGTGAAAAGTCGACGGCATAACATGCAAAGGTCAGCATATGGCCCCGTCCTGAGAGCCCATCACTGCCACTTCTCTGCAGCTGGCTCTCGCCATCGCCGATAAGAAGGCTCATGCGAAGAACCCCGAGACCCCCACTCAGTAAGAAGGCACACAGCGTGGGTTAGCAATACTTTTAATGGTTCACATTGGTGTTTGGGGTTGGGGTTTTTTTTGGTTTTTGGTGTGTTTTTTTCAGAAGAATTATAACAAAAATACATAGAGCTTAATGTTTCAATACATTGAGCAAGTACAGAATCTAAACAAGACAAGTCCATAAAGTACAACCCTTCTTGTGGGGGCAGAACCTTCCATTCCCCTGAGCAGGGAGAACCACATGATTCGGCACAATCCTCTCTCGCTGCCTCCTGTTCGAATTTCAGAGACAGGCAGACTTGGAGACAAAACGTATTAAAAAAACGAGGGCCCTGTGGGAGGGGTTAGTGCCCTGTGATGGAATGCCAGGCGCACACGCACGGGCTCCCTGAGGTGCTGAGAAATGTACTTTGAGTCAACTACTCGGTGTTGTAGCTGACAGATACTGGCAGAGGGGAGGGAGGGAGACAGGAGCTGCAGGACTGCTGGTGGGAGACCTGATGGCCACAGCACACGTTAAACCCAACTTACATAGTGAGGAGAGTCTGAGTACAATCCTCAGGCAGCGCATTCACACGGAGTCTTGGTAACACAAGTTGGAATGCTAACGAAGCACAGACACTTCTGCCAAAACCCCACCAGGTACAGCCATTCACCCAACAGAAGTATCAAAACCACTGGGTTTTTAAACAAAAATCCTTCACATCCACCTGTGTTCAAAAATAATAACTTATGATATGATGAGCTTCCTTAAACAAGCAATTACCACAAAAGAGTTAAATGGCAGTGTGGAAGACCCATTTTCCTATAAATGTAGTTCTTAGCAAGGGACAGAGACATAACATACATGAAAAATAAAGCCGTGATGTTTTGTGCTTTTAGCTGAAAGCTAAAGCTACCCCCTCAAAAACAGGTTCTAAACAAGTACTAAGCATTTCAGCTCACTTAGACCTGAGTGCAACAAACTCAGTAAAGACACGTCAAGTTTCTCCCCATTTAAGGAGCACATCTGGCCCCACGGTGAATAATGACGGCGATCGTGCTGGGCCGCTCAGGTCTGTGCGGGGCGTATCGCCCAGATGGGCTGGCCAAGTCGCCATTTCCGCTCCTAAGCAGAAAGAAAACCAGTAACTGGCGATGGAGCACATGGGGCAGACGTGGCCAGAGCCAGCCACACATCTACTTGCTTGACCATGTAACTTGTGAGGGGAGACGCTGCACGGGTCAGTTGAGTAGAACAGAACATCGGAGTCCCAGGGCAGTTGTGGATCAGGGGACGGGCCTTTCGGCCTCCAAGTGAGCCAAACCACGCCTCCCAAGCACGAGGCACGCACGAGCATACTCAAGCCAAGACTTGCTTTGCACAAAAATCGAGCACTAACATTTTTTTTTTCATTCTAGTATCATTAACACCTTGGAGAAAACAGAATCAATAATAGAAGCGTATCAAAGAGAATTACAATAGAAATTGCTAAAACTGCTCCGCCAGTAGTTCCATCACGGCCCACCGCGGGGGCTTCAGGCCGGTGACTTCATGGACGCACCCTGCGGTGCACTGCCGAAGGTCAGTTTCGAGTCTGTCGTGGTGACCCCAGTGTGATGCTGCCCGCCTTCCACTCACCACCTCCTACCCGTGAGATCCAAGGGTGCCTCGGGCGACACAGGCCCAGGACACACAGGTGTCGAAGCCAAAGAAGCTCCCTGAGAACTTCACCTTGGACTTGGGCAGGGAAACACCTCAGTGGGTGGAGTCTTGGCAGCAGCATCCACACTGGGGCTTAACCTCAGCAGCCGGCCTGCAGGATGCTCGCCCCGGAGCGCTTGGTCACCGACAGGGTCGTGAAGATCTGTGGGAGGAGAAAGCACGAGATTCTCAGACACACGGGTGGATGGGTTGCAGGAGTGGCTCAGATCGTGTCACACGTATGAAGGAGCTAGGTGACGACTTAAAATGAAAGAAACAGAGAAGTGATACGACAAAGGATATCCTCAACTTCTCTAGAGAATAAAAGCGAGAAACATTTTAAAACAAAGGCAAAAGAGAAAAATACTTAAGTTTTAATGACATAATTTATTAGCACAAGGCTGATTAAACAAGTTACCGAAGTCGCCTGTCTATTCTCTAAGGAAATGCACGTGAAATATTTAGATGCCATAGAAATATTCAAGGTGCATCGTTACAAACACCCGTGTGCCCGGCCAGCTCAGGGAGCTTTAGGAGTGTGGCTGGAGTCACCTCCTCCCTGCTTCTCCCTCAATCACTGCCGACCCTTCCTACCAATTTCTTCCTGTTTTCTTTTGTAAGTTTTGAAAACTACATGGAAATGACGAGACGGTGTATGTCTGCTACTGCTACCTGCTTTCTGGGCTAAACATGCTTCTGTAACTCACCCATATGGATGAGTCTTCACTGAAGAGTATTCAATTACTACAGTATGTGATACATGCTGCACACTACACATCCAAACCATGCAAGTGGTGCATCTGTTACGATTACACACCCAGGCTCCTTTGGGTGGCCATCCAAGCTATTGCCAACATTTGCAGCATGCTCTGTGGCATGGAGTCTCCTCACACCCAGAGCTGGAAGTACAATAACTGGGATTAAGGGGAGATGCGGTTCTGACTTGACTGGATTTCCAAGGTGTCCGACCAACTCACACTCTTATTTGCAGTGACCGATGAGTTCTCATGTCACATCCTTGCAAACAGGTGGCGCTGGTGGGCTCAGAGCTAATGAACATCTTTAGACAGCTTTAGCTGGCTACTTCACAGGATGGCCTACATGTAAAACAATGCTTCTCCAACTGTAGTGAACACAGCCTGTTTAGACTGATTGAAAGACACAGAAATTACACAGATTTTCATCCGGCAGAGCTAGGGGCGGGCCAGGAACCTCATTTTTAGCAGGAGGGCTAAGTGATTGGCTGTAACGCAGGTTGTCACATAGGAGGATTTCTGTGGAACACCTGTGTCTTTGGAACAAGGTTGCCCCCATAAACTTATTTTATGCTGGATTTTGCAGCATTTTCTTTTTTTTAAATATATTTTATTGAATTTACACAGAGAGGAATTGAGAGGGACAGAGAGTTAGAAACGTCGATGAGAGAGAAACATCGACCAGCTGCCTCTTGCACACCCCCAACTGGGGATGTGCCCACAACCAAGGTACATGCCCTTGACCGGAATCGAACCTGGGACCCTTCAGTCCTCAGGCCGACGCTCTATTCACTGAGCCAAACTGGTCCCAGCTGAATTTTGCAGCATTTTCATTAGAGCTCTTCAATTCAATGCTGAGGAGACTGTAAGTCAGTATGACTCTTTGGAAAAGCAATAAAGTTCCTTCATTTAAAAAATGTGTGACTGTGGAAGAGGGCAGAAAGACAATATTCAGTAATGAAAACAGCTGTTAGAATGACACATCATGGGCAACCGAAAATACCAACAAACACACTCTCTTTCCAATGAAAGAACAATAAAGAGCCAGGGAATGCATTCAAAAAAATTTCAGGCTTATGAATTTGCCAGCTTAAGTTTTCTTTATCAGGAATTTAGAAATAGAGCCTACAGATTTGAAAAGAAAATAAAACCCATCAAACATGCAAGCAGATAAGAAAAAGCTCTTATCTATTTTTTCTTATACAGATAACATACGTTAAAAACATGGGGGAAGCTGACATACTGCCACTGTTGATTAGTAGACATGAAAAAACTGATGGGGTCGATTTTTATTTGCATAGAACTGCTTTAGAAGCTTCATAACATTTCCAAAAATGAGCATGGCGGCTGCCCTTTCATGTTTTTCTAAGAACACTAACACAGGCTCAAACACTGCTTCAGGCTTCACCTCACACTTACATCTGGCCCCAACACCTCCCAGCCTCACAAGAGCCCCTCACTCTAGACTATGATTATGCTGACTATTAAAACAAGACATTTGCCGAAACCGGTTTGGCTCAGTGGTAGAGCGTCGGTCTGTGGACTGAAAGGGCCCAGGTTCGATTCCGGTCAAGGGCATGTACCTTGGTTGCAGGCACATCCCCGGTGGGGGTGTGTGCAAGAGGCAGCTGGTCGATGTTTCTCTCTCATCGACGTTTCTAGCTCTCTATCTCTCTCCCTTCCTCTCTGTAAAAAATCAATAAAATATATTTAAAACAAACACACACACACACACACACACACACACACACACACAAATAAGACGTTTGATGTTGGGCGCTGAAATTCATTTAGAGACATCTCACAGGGGCCTTTCTAATGCTCTTTCCACTTGAGCTAGTACATTTCCCCTACATTTATGCTTGACAAGTTGAAATTATGACTCCAAATGATGTACAACCAGTATCCCATTCAAGCATTGCTGCTCAGATGTCCAGAATAAATTATCACCATGCTATCTTCACACTGAATAATGCTAATATATCCCTGATGCTCCCGGGCTAAGATTCCCTCTCATATTGATACCAACGGGCTTCTGGTTAAAGCAATAGCAATTCCTGCTTTAGCCGGTTTGGCTAAGTGGATAGAGCATCAGCCTGGGTTATGGGCTCAATCCCCAGTAGGGGACATGCAGGAGACAGCCAACATCATTGATGTTTCTCTCTTTTTCTTCCTTGTCCTCTCTGAAATCAATAAAAATAAAAAATAAAATAAAATAAACCACACAAAAAAAAAACAAGAGCAATTCCAGAAGGAAACCTTTATAAGTGATTTTGCTCCAAAGATCAAAGTCTCAACTGAGGAATTTGTCCACTTTTCTAAGTAATTACTCTTCAAAAGCAAAGGTTGCTCAATTGCCTGGTTATTTTGTCCAAACCGTGTAACAGACATCATTTGATGATTCATTCGCCAACCGCCCACAGCTGGCCTGGGAGCCAGGACTAGTTCTGGGCACTTTAAAGCAGTGCTCAGGGGCAGTGTTTAGATTATTATTCCTAAGCCATTCAATGGACGGACGCTTGTGAAATGCAATAAAATGTATTAGGAAAATGAATTTTTAAAAGGCATATTACTTTTATTAAATCCAACACTGTCAAATTACTCTCCAAGTTTCTAAATCTTCATTTCCATCCTTAGCTAAGGACAGTAACCAACACTCTGTGGCCAGCACCCTCTACAGTATATAGCTTGATATGAAAAGCCAGGGAGGGGGTCCAGTAGCAAGTCCATGTCAGACCCCAGGATTTAGCACAGAGAATGGTCCCTAAGATCCCCTCCCAATCAAATTTCACTTTCCCTCAATCAAGTAACTTAAAAAGATTTCCATAGTCAGGGGTTAGAAGCTTTTGATTTTTCAAAATCTGATTTCTAAGCAAATAGTTCATAACCAGGGATTTAAAAAAAAAATCCAGAGGAGCTTTTTCAAAATACATATCCCTCCCCCACCCGCCCACGCCCTTCCCCTTAAAAATACTGTAGTGATGACCATTTAGTCAAGGCACATCTATAATGAAACGCCCTGGGGAAACCCAGCTATCAGATGTATCAAGTCACTGAGTAGCTATCCTATGCCAGGAACTGTCTGAGACACTTCCACTTTGCACATAGATTGCTCACCAACCCTATGAGTTAGATGTTATCTCTAATTTACTTAATGTGGAAACCAAGCCCCTGAAAAGCCAGGTGACATGCCAGGTTCACTGAGAAGAATTCGCTGAGTGAGATCACAACCCAGGTCTGTGTCTTCATTATGCTCATGTTGCCATCAATATCATTTCCATTTTTTAAATTCTATGTTAAATATAAGGTCTGTGGAAATGGACTATCATCTGTACTGCATGGTGCCTCGGGAGCCAGGTGGCTTTGATCTGAATCCCAGTTGTGCCACCTCCAAGCTGGTAACTGTGGGCAAGTTACTCAACCTCTGTTTTTATCTGTCGTGTGGAGACCTCCTGGGCTTCTTCCAAGGGCTGAGTCGATACATACAGAGCAGAGTGCTGGACACACACAGGAACCTCACGAGCATCAGTGCTATCATGGGAGTTCTCCCCTCGAACCTGCTTTCTATCGCTCCCTACTTCAGACACAAATGTGAATCATTCTTTCTTCCCTGTTCACATTTCCAACCAGCTGGCCAGTACCATCAACTCGCCCTTCTAATCCAATGGATCTCAATTTCCACTGCCACCATCCTAGTTCAGGCTGCCACTCTTGCCACTAAACATGTCTCCTCCAGCCCATTTCCCAGTGTAGCAAGAGTGATTTCTCTCAACAACGTATCTGATCATGTGATTCCCTTTTTAAGCGGAATCCCAGTGCCTCAGGATAAAGTAAAAATGCCCGGCACCTTGGTTTACAAAGCCATGACTTTCCACTTACTTCTCCAGTATGTGTGTATGTATGTACAGCCTATATAATAAAAGACCAATCAATGAGCGCTATGACACACACTGACCACCAGGGGGCAGACTATCAATACAGGAGTTGCCCTCTGGTGGTCAGTACACTCAGCCAGAAGCGGGGCTCACGGCTGGCAAGCCCAGCAATGGTGGCAGGAGCCTCTCCCACCTCCATGGCAGTGCTAAGGATGTCCCACTGTGCCCAAGCCGGCTCCCAGACTGCGAGAGGGCGCAGGCTGGGCTGAGGGACAGCTCCCCTCCTCCCCCCTGCACTGAGCCTCTAGTGTAGGGGTGTCGAACTCAATCAGAGAAGGGGCCAAAATCTAAAATCCAGCCTAAATCGCGGGCCGAATGGTTTACTGAACAGTCATAAACTGTCATTGTGATGGAAACGCAGCGGAGTGCAGTGATGACAGCGCGGTGCGGGCCACATTGCAAGGCCTGGCGGGACGGATTTGGCCCGCGGGCCTTGTGTTTGACACATGTGCTCTAGTGTATGTATAAGTGTGTATATACATATATATGGTTTTTTAAACCTATAAGCTCTTCAAGCTACAGCAGTTCTGAGGGTTTTCAGTTCCCTGAGTGAGCCATGCTTGCTCCCACAGAGGCCTTTAATTTGGTGCTCCTTCTGACTGGCTAACACAACACATTCTTCTAGTTTTAGGCAAGACTCCCTCCTCAGCCACCCTGCCCCGTATCCCTATTCCAAACACCACATGATACTATTACTGCGTCCTAGGGTTTGACACTGGACTGTAATTGGCACTTCACTCACCTGCCTCCCTGCTCTTAACTGTCTTACATCCCTGCTGTATCCTCAAGGGCCCAGCTCAGTGCTGTGCACATAGCTGCACAACAAATGTGCTCACAGAGTGACACTGCACCCAATTATTATCTCATAAATCAGCCAACAGCCCGGGGGGAAAAGTTGGGGGGGTGCCCTATCAAAGCAGTGGAATTAATTAGCTTCCGAGCTTCGTTGTCAATAGAGAACCAGGAGATGGAGATGCACAGCGGTAAATGCTTAGAAAGGGCTCTCAAACGCACCAGGCGTACCCGGAAACAGGCCTCTGGCTGGCCTCCCTGTGGGCGGGGCGTCAGGAAGATGCCCTGCCTCTTCACTGCAGCTCTCCGCCCAGCGGGCCGGGCCGCCACGGGACCCTTCAGTCCGCAGGCCGACGCTCTATCTACTGAGCCAAACCGGTTTCAGCCGGAGATTTGCCATTTTAACAATACAGTGTTCTCGTCTATAAATATGGGCTGATTTTTTTCTTTAAGTCTTTAATTTCTTTCAACAATATTTTGTAGTTTTAGTATATACAAACCTGCATAAGATCAACTCCACCACGGGGGCCAAGCCCTCAGCGTCTTCCTTCGAACCAGCCCAGTGAGCTGAATTCACATTAAAATATTAGACACACAGGTGTAAATCGGGAAGTTATCTTTTCACCCACGTTGGAGGTGATTGTGGTAGCTTTTAAGCCTCTTGGACTGGCATTAAGATTTTTAAATATACTCCCTGTTATGAGTTGAATTAAGCCCCTCCCAGAAAGATATGTCCAAGTCTGAGGCCCCAGCACCTGTAAATGTGACCTTATTTGGAAATCGTGTCTTTGCTGATGTAACCAAGTTAAGATGAGGTCACGGTGGATTAGACTGATGCCCCATGATAAAAAGGAAATCTGGACAAAGACATAGGAGATGAGGCCATGTGAAGGCAGCGGCGGACACTGGAGTGATGCACCTGTCAGTAAAGGGACACCAAGGACTGCCAGCAACCCTGGGAAGAGCAAGAGGATTCTTCCCCAGAGCATCTGGAGGGAGTGGGCCCTGCTGACACAGTGATGTCAGACTTCCGGCCTCCAGAGCTCTGAGAGAATACATTTGTTTTAAGCTGCCCCTTTGTGCTAAAATATATTATGTTATAATATAAAATATATTATCACAGCACATTGTTTAAGAGCACTAATCTAGACCAGTGTTTCCCAAAGTGCGGTAGGCGTACCCCCAGGGGTACGGGAAGAGTTTGGTGGGGGTACGCATTGCACCGGAGTTTGGCGGGGATATGCACTGCACCGTGCTTAGCTGCGCCTAATTCTACATTCTCATGAGTACAAGGGGTACTCAGTGTTACGAAAATTATAGAAGGGGTACACATATGTCAAAAGTTTGGGAAACACTGATCTAGACTATTTTCAATTTCTACATTATATTTTTGAAGCTTAGGTTTAGTTCGTAAGACAGCAGTTTTCTATGAAGAATGCCCTAATCTTGGACCATGTTAAACTTTCATGCTACTATCCCAGCCAGATGCATAATAAGTTACAGGAGGGCACTATCCCTAACACAGCAAAGCAAAGGAACAAAAACATTTCCCAGGCCTTGAAGCTGACATTTCCTACTCAGTAAAGAGTTCAATTGTACAAGGGCATGAAGAACAGACACCAGTCAGCAGACTGCTGAACGAAACCTGGCAGGAGTGTCTGTGTGTGTGTGTGCATGTGTGCGTGTGCATGTATGCACAAGCACAAGGTACACTGTGGAAACCACTGACTGGTGACCAGGCAACAGAGGTAATTTCAATTCCATACTTAAGCTAGTATGAGATACCTTCTCCCAATCTTCATCAACTTCTCCAACATAGACACATTTTGGGTTTACCATTTGTAGTTAATAGTAAGCATCACAACATTCAACTCCACAATAATCACTAACAAACGTGAAGAAAACTAACACCCAGAGGCCCAGAATGGTCAATTTCCAATTCTATTAGCATGTGCCTGATCTTTTAAAAACATCATTTTCAATCTCATTCTCTAACATCCAAAGCTAAGGAGGCACCCATTATCATTTATCCTCAAGGTTCATCTGAGGTAATAAGTATTTAAGCTGTATCTGGGTAGGAATGGCATTATTAACTGACTGCCATAAAAATAATTGAGAAGACATGACAAATGGAAGGTTTAAGGCACATCTCTAAAAATCACTCTATGGCCAAAACCGGTTTGGCTCAGTTGTAGAGCGTCGGTCTGCGGACTGAAAGGTCCCAGGTTCGATTCCGGTCAGGGGCATGTACGTTGGTTGTGGGCACATCCCCGGTAGGGGTTGTGCAGGAGGCAGCTGGTCGGTGTTTCTCTCTCATCGACATTTCTAGCTCTCTATCTCCCTCCCTTCCTCTCTGTAAAAAATCAATAAAAATATTTTTTTAAAAATCACTCTATGGCTTTTACCAATTGATAGCATGGCAGTCCTATCCAGTTCACACCAGGAACAAGAACCGTTTGGAAGAGGAAAATGTGGGTTCTAGAGACAAGGCCTCCTTTAGGTATTCTCACTCATCCATGAGCTGCAAGGAGGTACAGAAGCAGCTTGATACAGCAGGAAGAACTCTGACTCCAGACTGCCAGCTGTGCCATTGGTAAGCCAGAGCGTGTGCATTTTAGTAGAGCCATGTGGTGCGGTGACCCACCTCTGCGCAGACGGGGTGGATCCCGATGGTGCTGTCCAGCTGCTGCTTGGTCAGGCCACACTTGAGCGCGGCTGCAAAGCCTTGTGTGACTTCTCCAGCGTTTGGACCCAGTATGTGGAAGCCCACAACTCGTTCCTAAAATATAAAATAAAGTAATACAATTATGCCGATTTCTCACCCCCATGCCCTTAACAGCCTGCAGTATTTTCCCAGTCCATTCTAAAAACCCCTTTCAAAAGTGGCCACAGACATATTAATGCTTGCCGCTAAAAGCTGTTTAGGCTGAAGATAACTCCAACATGGGCCCATACAGAGTGTGGGGTCACATCAAGCAAGAAGGAAGAGAAGAGCACTAGCGATAAATGACGACGAGGGAAACACTGAAAGCAGAACCGTCGGCAACTCCAAAAGCTCAAAATGTTCTGGAAAATGTTTCCGAGGGGCAGCTGTGTCCTCGTCTCCTCCACGGGGCGGCCTCAAGCCCCAGATAACCTCTCTGTGACAGCTGAAACATTTCAGAGCACTCATTCACGTTAAAAACCATTTTAACCCAGGTTTTGGGGATAGATAGCATTTTTTAAAATAATAGAAAAATGTTTGGCAACTCTGAAATAACTGTGTAGGAATTATTTTGGATAGATTCTTTATCCCAAACTCAGGAGAACCTCTGCCAAAAGGAGAGAAATTTGATTCATTCCATTGTTCAGACTTTGAGAGCCAACTCTGACCGAGATAGATTGTCTAGTCCAATCTCATAACCACCGAGGCACCTCAGGCTGTGGGGCGCACATCCTAAGGCTCAGTCACTCTACGGAAAGCAATCAAAAAGTCATTCTCCTGCCAAAGTACTGTAATATATTCCATGATGGACTTACACCACTCATCCTGATAATGAGGGGGTCAGCATATGGATAAACAAAGCACAAAATATACTAGGTCTTAAAATACACTAGGAATAATGTAATAACGTGGATAGACCTCAAAAAGTGAGATTAAAAACAAGTTGCAGGCTCTAATTAGCTAAGGATACCATCAAATCAAACCACAATGTATAATGTTTACGGATACATCAGAAGTGGCAAACATAAAAATATGAACAGGTGAGACCCTCCAACTTCAAGATTGCTGCCTGTGGGGTAGGGAAGAAATGAGGGGTGCAGGATCAAGAAGGACTACAAAAGACTGTACAGGCACGGGATAATAGTTAATAGCATGGAATTGACCGTACCTGTGGCTGAATTCCAGCCCTTCCATTAACTAGTACATGCCCTGGCACAATCACTTAACTTGTATCTAATGCATGCTCACACAAATACCCTTTCCATAAAACGTGTCTGAAAAGAAAAAACTGCACCTAAAATTGTTCTTGACGCCAACTGTGTAGAGCTTGTTATGGTTAGCCTAGAATATTCGCTTATTAAATGTATCTATGATGATGTCTTTTTGCAAGGGATCCAGATTTTCCTAGAACCCTGGATTCTGCAAAAAGCAATCTGTCGAGAGCAGTAACTTCTAAACAAGATATATGGCTTAATTACATTCAATCCCACATAAAAAAATATATGAGTTTATTAGGCTTTTAATATATGGTTTCTTTAGCATCATTTGTGTTTTTTCTTAAAGTAAGGTCCCACCTAAGTTTAAAATATCAGTTCTCATAAGATTTAATTCATAATACTTATACAGTATGTGCACAACATATATGTGTCCTGGGTTATAATATAAAATGGGGGGAGCAGTCAGAAAAGTTTGAAAACCGATGATTTATTCACTAGCTTTGTAAGTATGGAGACAAACTGTGAGGTTAAAAACCTTGCCCATAGGCCTGTACATGTAGCAGCAAGCAATGAAATCTTAAATCAGAATCCAATTAAAAGGTCTTCCCGCCGAAACCGGTTTGGCTCAGTGGATAGAGCGTCAGCCTGAAAGGTCCCGGGTTCGATTCTGGTCAAGGGCGTGTACCTTGGTTGCAGGCACATCCTCAGTGGGGGGGAGGGAGGGGGAAGGGGGAGAATGCAGGAGGCAGCTGATCAATGTTTCTCTCTCATCGATGTTTCTGACTCTCTGCCCCTCTCCCTTCCTCTCTGTAAAAAAATCAATAAAACATTTTTTTTTTTAAAAAGAAAAGAGCTTTCTCACCGTGACAGCTACTTAGGATATAAACCTGCAGTACTCCTGTTCTTTTCTTTTTGCCATTTTTAGGTCACTGATGACTTATTTGGTTTCCTTTCATACACACAAACACAGAGTTCTCAAGGTGTCCCTAGGCTCCCTCACTCAGCAGTGTAGCCGCCTGCCTGCTGTGTGGGGCTCTGTGCCAGGGAAGCTGGGGAGAGCACTGTCACCGTGCTCCTTGCTCTCAGAGGTCTACGCAGCTGGGGACACCGATAGGTAAAATCGGAAAGAAGTGTAGTGTGAAACGTGATCAAAATAGAGCTACACATTAAAAACAAGATGAAATTAGTTGAAAGGATTAAACGAGAATTGCACTTACACTGTCCTTCATATTACAGACTATTTTTGCGTAGCATTTGTTGCTATCTCTTGATGGAACCGTCCATTCCAGTGGCCAAAAGTAGCTATGGTAAACCTAAGAAGATATAAACATAATTAGACTCATCATCTTAAGAAGCATGTTTGTCAAACTCTAGCTCTGGTAAAAGACAATGGAGGCTCGTTAGTATTAAGATTTTCTCTAAGCAACAGAATTCATCCAGACACAGACTCAGAGAACAAACTCATGGTTTCCAGAGGGCAGGGGGGCTAGGGGACTGGGTAAAAACAGAGATTGAGAAATAGATTGGTAGTTAGTTACAAAACAGTCACAGAGATATCAAAGTTCGGCATAGAAAATACAGTCAATAATATTCTAATAACTATGCATGGTGCCAGGTGGGTACTAGACTGATTGGGGGGATCACTTTATAAATCATATCATTATGCTGTACATTTGAAACTAATATAAGATTGAATGTCACCTGCAACTGAAAAATCCAAGTTAAGAAAACACATACAAAACACCCCCAATAAAATTCATGAAATAGAATCTGGTCAGAAAGCAAATGACTTTAAAAGTCCTTTTGCTCTACGCTCATCCCTTAATTATAACTCAGGCTCAACAGTAAACGTTAAATCATCATAACAACAAAGAGCCAGCAAGTGAGAGAAAGAAGCCGTGTCATTACGTGCTGTCTTGCATTAACATATGGATTTTAAAAAAAAACACACACAAAAAAACCTCTATTTTGTTACCTGAAAGGAAGGTCAACTTTGGGCATGAAACAAGTCAAATGCCAGCAACAATTATAGCAATTATCTAATTTTCTTGCTAGACATTCCCGCCGTTGAGTACGGAAGGGAAGCAGAGAAGGCGGAAGGGAAGAGGGCAAATGGAAGGGCACAGACATGCTTACTGATGTTTCATAAACTTAAGTCCTGGATGACTAGAGGGATTTATTTTCTCCTCTAACTACTAGCTTCAATTCAAAACATATATGATTAACTACCTTTTAAAAACATACTGATCTGGTAGACATTATAAGTGTTCTTTTATATTATAAAAATGATGAAAATTTTTCTTAAAATATGGGTTACCAAATTGAATGTATATCATCATAGTATGATAATAATTATATAGGAAAAAGATGATTAAAGAAATTACACCCAATTGCTAATAATTACTGTTAAAAAAAAAAAGAGTAATTGTTTTCTATTTCCTTTACATGTTCCAAAATTTCAACTCAAATGCATTATTCATATAATAAAAAATGCAAATTCTAATAAAACAAAATCCAAAGATGATCTGCCAAGAAATATGGAATGTATATTAAGAAACTTAAAATTTAAATACCTCTTTATAGGAATCTATTCTCAGAAAATAGTCAGAGAAACAGATAATAATGAAGAGGTTCATTATTCTATTAGTAGTGAAAAATTATAAACAGATTTTCACTATAAATAATGGCACAACAAATTACTGTATAGCAACCCTAAAAAAAAATATTATACAAGTCATTTTTAAAATGATGTTTTTAGGGGGAAATGCTCATGGCCTAATATTACTGCAAAGTAGGCCAGAATACTGCATATAACTTAATCACACTTTTAAAAAATTATATGTAGCTATACAAAATTAAACATGCATTCAATATATAGAAACTACAGGTAGTTTCTATATATTGAATATACTTAAATATACATAAATACTTAGAGACTAGAATATTCCAAAATATTAACAGCAGTTACCACTTCATGAATTAAAATTTCCTTTTTTATGTTTTCCAGCTTTCTATAAGGAGGATATACAAAAGCCTAAGCTACTGTTACTATGGAACAACCGGTTGCTATGTCATGCACTAACCACCAAGGGACAGATGCTCAACGCAGGAGCTTCCCCCAGCCCGCAGGCCCCAATCACCTGTTTGGGGCCAGACCCCCAGGCTGAGACGGGAAACCGGGGGTGGGTGGCAGTGGATGTTGAAGCCATGGAAGGAGTGGGGAGGCAGGAAGGTAGGGAACCTGATCAGTCCTGATTGCTGGCCAGGCCTAGGGACCATACCATGCATGAATTCATGCACCAGGCCTCTAGTTGTATTAATATTAAGTTTCTTAAATGTGATAACTACCCTATGATTTTATTAAAAAATGCTCTTATTCATTAAATATATACTGTAGTGTTTAGGAAAAAAGAGGCATTCAACTTACAAGTGGTTCAGGAAAGAAAATACAGACAGATACACAGAAATAGAGGAAGAGAGACTATGGGACATGAAAAGACAAATGGGCAAAATAACAATAATACGTGAATCTGGATAACTGTACAAAAGTTCTTTGTACAATTTTCCTACTTTACTGTGTGCTTGAAATTATTTTTAATTTTGAGAGAGCGCCGAATCCTAACCACTAGACCACCAGGGAGCAGCTATTTTTAATTTAGAAAAGAAAGCAGTAGAGTAGAACTTACCTCAATATTTTCTTCCCCAAATTTTTCCACAGCTTTTTCTTCAGAAAGACCACAAGCACCATATTCCAAAGGAGTAAATACAGTTGTTGGAACATTTTCATAGTCACACTATTTCAAAATGGAGAAGAGTTACAAGAGAAATTTTAAATCAAAAAAAGGGTATGCCTCAAAAGGTTAAAAATTAGGAGAGAAAAGCAGACTAGTAAATTTCTACCAAAAATATGGGAAGTCATAACAATCACAGGTATAAACCTATCACATGAGAACCATGAGCCAATGTGATGAAGTTTTGGCAGAGGTTTAATGTCTGGCAAGACTAGCCATGAGTAAGTGATTCATGGATGTTAACAACAAGGACAGACTTGTTCTACCTTTAATAAAGCAGCCAAAAACAATACAAGTGTACTTAAAGCTGATGGTCTCATTATCAGTGACAGAGAGACTAATAGACTTCTCTGGGAAAATAATTAGGTAATACATAGAGAGTCATAAAAATATTTTATACCTTTTGGCCCAATAAACCCATTCTTTTTTTTTCTTTTTTTATTGATTTTTTACAGAGAGGAAGGGAGAGAGATAGAGAGCTAGAAATGTCAATGAGAGAGAAACATCGACCAGCTGCCTCTTGCACACCTCCCACCGGGGATGTGCCCACAACCAATGTACATGCCCTTGACTGGAATCGAACCCGGGACCTTTCAGTCCGCAGACGGACGCTCTACCGCTGAGCCAAACTGATAAACCCATCCTTAGACATCTATAACAACATATATTATAGAAACAGCTGTGTGCATTAACTGGGCAATGCTGCAGCTCTCTTCAATAGTGGCAATATTGGAGCATCTTTAAAGTGCAAATAAGGAAGTGGTTCTTTGTACATACACCTCCAGTCAACATTATGTAGCAATTAAAGTGAAATGAAAACTACAGAAACAAAAAAAGTTAAGGATTCTATTTCCAAAGCATATTTTATGTTAATAGGCATAGATAACAAGCGAATTCTGAAGTCAAAGAAGTTGTAAAATGCTGTATTAAGCAAATAAAATAAGTTTCTCAATTACCAAATTCCTCAGTCTTTAATATGCTGATGTGAATTGTGAAAACTGTTATAATATAAATGCAAAATGTTTGTAAATGCTATTTGGTGGAAACCTACCCAGTCACATTTACCCAGAGAGGTGAGCCATTCTGTGTTTAAAATATGAGAAACTGAATTCTCACTCAATAAAACAGTAGGGTGAAATCTTTAAAATGTGCCTCCCTATTCTATTTGCAAACAGCAAATAGAATCCCTTTTCTCTAAGAAGAACATAAATCTTTGGAATTCTGATTCAACAGTAAAGGCAGATCTCCACTGACAGCCACAATGGTGTAGCCGGGACCACATCTACCTCCCTGCTTTACACAACTAGAAAACCAGACAAATACGCAGCAACATCTTTTAAGCATCTGCAGCAGCTGCAGGGCAGAGCCTGAAGCCGGTAGAGATGGACAAGAACGCCTGGGATCTGGGCTGCGTACTGATCTATAAACGCCTCAGAGGAAAGACCCGCTGGAAAGCAGGAGGCCTCAAAGTGACCAGAGCTCCAACAGGACCGGAAACAGTTCCCACAGCCAGAGCAGAGGAAACTCATCCTGTGAGAGGAATGGGGTCAACTGGTGCCCAAAGACATCAATTTAAAGATGAAACTAAGTTAGCCCTAGGTGAAAGGTTGCTATAGGTCAGACCCTAAAAAAGCTTAAAAGCAACTTACAAAAGGGATAAAACTAACGCTATGTAACTTAACCAACTGTCAGAACAAAGCCTAACACTGTATAAAAGAACGCAACAAAACCCAGGTCTGAACAATGTAAAATGTATAGTATCTGCATCCACTCAACAGAATCCAGACACGCAAAGGAGCAGGAGCATGTCAACAAAAAAATACCCTGAGAAAAATCAACCAATAGAAACAAACGCTGAAAAAATATGATGCAATTAGAAGGGGACTTTAAAAGAGCTGTTACAAATATGCGGTCTATTCAACCAGGTAAAGGAAAACATCAACCTGCTGAGAAGAAAAACAGAAAATTTATTTTAATAAAACTTGTGGAGATGAAAAAGACTATTTGGAGTGCAAACCACACAGATTGAGGTTAATAGCCCAAGAGAGCGCAGCAGAAAACAATCAGTGAAGTTGAAGACATGGCAATAGGTTTTCTAAGAAAATGGAGCACTGAGATGGGGTCGGGTGGGGAGGAAATAGTAATGATAAAGATAATGTCACTGATAATGATAAAGAGCATTAGAGACCATGGGATAATATTGAGTGAACCAGCATTTATAAATTGGAGTCTAAGGGAAAACAAAAACGGGGGAAGACAGGAAAAACTAACTGAAGCCCTGGCCAGTTGCTCAGTGCTTAAGAGCATTGGCCTGTGGACCCAAGAGTCTGGGGTTCAATTCCAAGTCAAGGGCATATACCCTGGTTGCAGGTTCCCCATCCCCAGTCACCATGTGTAGGAGACAACCAATGGATGGATGTGTCTCTCTCATTTCAATGTTTTTCTCTCTCTCCCCTCCTCCCTCCCTTCTACCCTCTGTAGAAATCAATGGAAAAAATACTCTCCGGTGAGGATTAAAAATAATAATAAAAAAATAACTGAATGGCTGAAATTTTTCCAAATGTGGTTGAAAACTATAAACAGATAAATCCAAGAATCTTGGACACATCACAAGCAGAAAGTTATAAAGAAAAGTATGGCAAGGCATGCAATGTTCAAACTGCTAAAAAAAACAAAAAAAAAACAAAGAAAATCTTAAGAGGAACAAATATAGAAATGATAGTGCATTTCTCTTTAGAATCTCTGCAGCCACAAGAATATGGAAAAATCATTGAAATATTTAAAGAAACACTGTAAATCTAGAACTCTATATACAGTAAAAATATCTTCCAGAAAACGAAGGCAAAATAAAACATTTTCTTTTTTAGCCTTGGGAGACCTCTTTTCCCCACCCCATTCCAAGTTTCTTTCTCACTTGGGTGTTGTTCTCTCTTAGTCCTAGTGTTTCCTTCCTCGCTTTCTTCCTTCCCTCCCTCCCTTACTTTTTTTTAACATTTGAAATAGAATTCTCATACCATAAAATTCACTTTTCCAAGTTTACAATTCAGTGGTTTTCAGTATAGTCACAAAGTATGCAACTAGTACCACAATCTAATCCAGATTTTATCACCAGAAAAAGAAATTTTATACCCATTAGCAGTCACTCTCCATTACCCCCCCTCTCTCCCTGCCCTCCAAGGAAAATCACCATGAGCAGACATAATCCTCACCAATACTGGTCCCATAAAACATACCTAAGAGTTTTCATTTCATTTCATTGATTTTAAAAACCACACTCAGTTATTAATAGGACACGTTCAACATCCTAAGCACAGAAGAGGTATTTTTAGGAGGACAGGGAAATAGAGCCTGCACACTGGTTTAAGCAGCTCTGCTCACTGGCATTATTCCCGAGATCCCCAAATCCTTCCTCATGCCCCAGATAGGCACCGCGACAAGATCCCTTACCTCGATAATAATAACATTGATATTAAATACAACTACTATGTGTATATGGAACATAACAGTGCTGAAACTTGATTAATCAAGCTCATTTTATTCTTAGAGTAATTCCAGGAGTGACAATTTTCTGAATAAAATCACAAAAGTGCAGCATTCTTAACAATGTCATTTGGAATTCAGTAATAAAGCACATCTTGGGATGCCATCATCAAAGTAACTAAATTATTCAAGACCCAGGAAACTTCCCAACTATCCCTACATGGAGAACGGGGCATATCATTAAAAACAGTGTCTCAGCGGGTAAAGTGTCGCTCACCTTGACTGTGGAGCCAGCGTAGAGCCTCTGAGCCAGCAGCCTTCCTGCCTGGATGGCTACAGGGGTGAGCTCCGGCTTCCCCTCCAGAACGTCGCCAATGGCGTAAATGTAAGGCACGTTGGTCTGCTCCTCATCCGTGACAGGTATTTTTCCATTCCTGCAAATTGATCCCGTTAAAAAACATCATTGAGTAGAACAAAATCCCGTTTATCCCACAGAAATCCAACATTATGAGTCCAGCTGAGGACAATGTTCTAATGTATTAACACACAGAACAACTTTATTTATTTCAGAGGAAATAAAAGCTTAGAGACCATTCTCGCTGCTATTCTGAAAAGTAAAGGAATAAGAAAATTGATAGAAAAAACCCTGGGAATGGAAAAAATGGAACACAGCGGCTAAGAATGAGAATTATAAACTGTAATAACCAGGTCTGTTAGTTATTACCTCTGTGATCTTGGGAGAGCTATTTACTATCTCTCAGCCTCATTCCCCCACCTATAAATGGGAATAATGATGATGGGGATAATGGTAGGAAGAAAAAGAATACCATCTCTATCTACCGTAAGGGTCTGTGAGGATTGAACGCGAATGTGAATAAAGCCTTCAGCACCCTAGTCCATGGCTCACAGTAAGTACAGAATAACTATTAACATTATATGAAATCTAAGCCTTAGACCCAATTGGAAACCAGCTAGCAGTTATGGGGAAAAAAAACAAGAAAAAATAATCTTCACAGTAAGATTAGAAATCTCTTCTTCTGAATGGATGTGATTCCTGCAAGGATTAAGAGCTCGCCATTACTCCGAGGGAGCTTCTGTTCACAGCAGGTGCTTTTCTAGTTGGACGTAAGAAAGGCGATATTGGGAAATACCCCATGCTGCTCCTCTGAGCAGACACCAGAGTCTCAATTATCTGGTGCAGGAGTATGGTCCAAAGGACTCTAACTTTTTTTCTTTAAGCCTTGTCAAACAAAGCCACCAAAAATTCTGGTTCCCCCCCACCCCCCCAAAAAAAATTGGGAGAAATGGAAGGACTTTAACTGTTAAAACCCTTGAAGAAATAAGTTTTCATACCTGCAGCTGTCACTAGAAATGTAGAGACCACCCTAGTCCTAGTGACCGTAAAACCTGGTACTTTAAACATAGTTTAAATCCACGTATTGAGTGAAGCTAAAGCATATTCCTACAATGAACTGGAGTCTGGATCTTTTTCTGCACACATATGCATTGAGGAAACAAAAAGCAAACCAATATAGCTCTCAATTAGATTTTGAGAAGAAAAAAGAAACAGAAAATACTATGAGTGGAGCTGAGAGACTTCTTCTGAACTTAAAAAAGGGAACTCTCCAACTATGATAAAAATTAACTTTAAAAATCCAAAACTCCAGCATTAATCAATATTCTAAATACTGAAATAGTATTCAATAAGATATAATAAAGATTTTTTTCTTACTTTTCGTTTATCTTTACACCCACAGTTTCTAAGCCAATATTTCTTGTGCAAGCATCTCTTCCTATTGCCAGCAATACCTGAAGAAAAAAGAAAAAAAAGGTTGACATATATGTAGTGAATATAACAAAAAGGCTCTGCATGAGTTATTTAATCATTATTTTTTCTGCTTATTAAGCTAACCTGACTTATCCAGACCTGGGAAGAAATTTCATTATGAAAATAATGCAAGAGTTAAAACAAATTACAATCTTAAAAAAAAAAAAAAAAAAAAAAAGCCTTCAAACATGATATAGCAGAAATCCTTATTCATTTCTTATTAAGAAAAAAGAAGTTGCCGAAACTGGTTTGGCTCAATGGATAGACTGTAGGGGTGTCGAACTCAATCAGAGAAGGGGCCAAACTCTAAAATCCAGCCTACATCGCGGGCCAAATGGTTTACTGAACAGTCATAAACTGTCATTGTGATGGAAACGCAGCGGAGTGCAGTGATGACAGCGCAGTGCGAGCCACATTGCAAGGCCTGGCGGGACGGATTTGGCCTGCGGGCCTTGTGTTTGACACATGTGGGATAGAGCGTCGGCTTGGGGACTGAAAGGTCCCGGGTTTGATTCCGGTCAAGGGCATGTACCTTGGTTGCGGGCATATCCCCAGTAGGGGGTGTGCAAGAGGCAGCTGATTGATGACTCTCTCTCATCGATGTTTCTAACTCTCTATCTCTCTCCCTTCCTCTCTGTACAAAATCAATAAAATATATTAAAAAAAAAAAAGTTAACAATCACTCAATTAATCTAGACAAGATTAAAGACAAAGACAGCATAGCCTATGACTGAATTCAGTTATTATAAACATTAAAAGCGGTGGGCTAGATCAACCAAAGGACTTGTATGCATGCATCTAAGCCTAACCTATGGACACCAGGGGGGTGAGGGCATGAGTGGGCTGGGGTGGGGGGAGAAATAGGGGGATGAGGACACATATGTAATACCTTAATCAATAAAGAAAAATAACATGGTTGACTGGGGAGTTGAAAGGGAAGAACATGGGACAGAGAAATTCTAGCTCATTTAAAAATGCTGATGCTCTTTTACAGCCACTTAGCAAATAGTATTTTATTAGTAAGTTACAGTGGAGAAATCTGAAATCTAAAATGGATTCATTCCTTACCGTATTGTACTCTCCTTCGATGGTTTGGTCACTATTGGTGGACTGAGCTACCACCTTGAGTAGGCCTGGTGTCCCAGCTTCAATTTGTTCAATCTATAAAAGTGATAAGGTTTTACTCAACAATAAAGACATGTATCAAGTAATTACTTTCTCCCTTTCTGTCTGGTTCACCCGACGTTGACACAAAATCTGGTTTGAAAGGTCTTTCGTGTCCCATCTCCCTCACCCTAACATCATGAGGATAATGTGATTCTCTTATTAATCCCTTTTCTTGCTGCTCAATGTTTGCTAGAGGGGTTTTCTGTCAAACAGTTCTTCTGCAGAATTCAGAGAGAAAAGAGAAAGGGAAAGCCCGAGAAAGCAGACCACAATCCCTAAAATCGAACCAATGACTAACTGTCTTGTAAGTCACCTAGAACCGCTAATCCCCTGGAAAGCCACTGCTGCGATATTCAGAGGTTCTTCTTTTGACTACAGATGCTCAGCTCTAACAAAGAATAGACATGAGTAAGCTGATCATGATACAGATAACCATGGTGGGCAAGGAGGTGTGTCTGTCTGTCATCACTAGGGGCTGCCTCCAGTGAAGGGTATAACAGGGAATGAGCAGTCCTAGTTCTTGTGCTATGATGAGATGGAACATACTAGCCTACTACACACAGATGTCAATGGCAACTTGGTGACAATGACTAAGAAACCCTACTCTCTGGAGACTTCTGCGAGTATGCAGTGAATTCTGTTGTCTCTGAATGACACCCAAATCTGTGAAATACTTACTGGGAGAAATCCATAAAAGTAAACTGCAAAGTCTACCCTCCCTCTAAAATGCAACTGCTCTGTGTGGGAAAACTGTCACGACTGGTTTTATTTTCAACATCTAGTAGGCAGTCAGGATTTCCTTCTTGAACTCCCTGCTTTCTTATACAGGTAAGAAATGTCTTTCCCATTTAACTTACGGTTTAATGTTCTAACCTTTGGAGAAAAGCTGAACTGGTCCACGGCTTAGATTTGCTTACAAATGATAAGGGCCTCAATCCACCTCTAATTCCTTCCTGCCTCACTCACTGTTCTGTTCCAGTCATGTGTTTTCTGTTTCTAGAACAATTTCTTTTTTTTTACAGAGAGGAGGATAGAGGGATAGAGAGCTAGAAATGTCGATGAGAGAGAAACATCAACAAGCTGCCTCTTGCACACCCCCTACTGGAGATGTGCCCGCAACCAATGTACATGCCCTAGACTGGAATCGAACCTGGGACCTTTCAGTCCGCAGACCGATGCTCTACCACTGAGCCAAACCGGTTTCGGCTAGAACAATTTCTGTATCTAGGACAATTTTATTCCCAATAGCATTTTTGCTCATACTTTGTTCTTTGCCCAAAATGCACTCTATCCCTCCTCTCTGCAGAGACTTCTTCCACTCAGTCGCTTTATAATGTAGCAAGCGGCACACTAGCCTCTGGGGAACCGGACACCTGGTAACCTCAGCAAGATGCTATGTATACAGACACAGGTTTATTTCACCAGGTAGGTCCTCAAAGGGGCCCACAACTCCCCAGATGTTAAGATGTTATTTAAAAAAAAACAAACAAACAAAAAAAACAAAGATGTTGCTTTCCTTATCAGTATGGCATTACTGATAGCTGTTGTTTTCTAATCATATACCTCCACTCCCTAAAAAACAGCTACAGCAATAAGTACTGAAAACCTTCAGGACATTTGTTACTTAATCCTCACTACAATATTATGAGATAAATTCATCTTAGACGTACTCTGAGCCAGAACTGTCTATCTAACTGTAAGCTAATGCGATCTTCACAAGAACTGAGATAGGTGCCATTATCATCCCAATTTTATAAAAAAAACTGAAGCTCTGAGAGGTTAATTAATTCCCCCAAAGTCATAAGGCAAGAAACGGGCAGAACGGTATCTAATCCACGCCATTCTGGCCTCAGTGCTCCGTGTGCCATCAGCACCATGAGATTCCTGGTCACACAATGAACCTATGGTAACCCACGAAGCAATTTTAAAAATAACAAATAAAACTCCTTAACTTTAACAAAACAGTTCCATCCTCACCTGCACTAAAGGAAACTATTAATCTGAGATACACAAAGTATGATCTGCCACTCTTACATATCAAGCATCTGTGGTAATGTTAACAAGCCCCAATAACTTGTCATATTGTTCAGCCTTTTTAAGAGAAGATGCAATGAGCAAAAAAGGCCACCCACTTAACCAAAATAGGTGATTGTATGCAGGAAAGCCAGAATAATACAGCACATCTATTGACTCCACTGTACATCTAGAAGAAATGTCTTAAAGGAAATTTTTTTTTAATCAGCCTAGTCTTGAACTCTTATTTAATCACGGGTATGTATGAAGGAACAAAGTATAACAGACCAAAGATGATAAAGTATTAAATAGAAGAGAACCAAAGATAAGAAAGCAGAGAAGGAAATGAAATTATTATTCTGCAAATAAGAACAAACCTATTTAGGTGGTAGGTAGGTACAAGTTTACAAACCACTACCACATAATTGAGGAATAGTGTCCATAATGGTTTATAATTCTGAAAGGATGCTTTTATCACCTATAGAAATCTATTTCCTAACTTTTAATATGTGTACAGAACCAACAAACTTACAGGCAACTCCACTTACCTTTATTGGTACAAACTGTTTTATAAACTTGACACCATGTTCCTCCATGTGTTCACCAATTTTGTTGGCCATGTCCTGGTCAAATCCTCTCAGGAGAATGGATCGTACCATAACAGTGACATCTAAACCAATGCCAGCAAGAAACCCAGCACATTCCAAAGCGACATAGGATGCTCCGACCACCAGGGTCTTCCCCGGGCAATAAGATAAGGAGAAAATATCATCACTGAAATGAGATTTGTAAAAAGAAAGGCAAAAATAAAAAAATGTTCATGGGAATAATGACTAAATCAAAGCAAATATTTTTACTTTCTTATGAGCGAGACACCTTTAAGATGTAAACATTTAGCCCTGACTGGTTTGGCTCAGTGGCTAGAGCATTGACCTGCAGTCTGAAGGGTCCCAGGTTTGATTCTGGTCAAGGGCATGTCCCTTGGTTGCGGGCACATCCCCAGTGGAGGGGTGTGCAGGAGACAGCTGATCAGTGTTTCTAACTATCTATCCCTCTCTCTTCCTCTCTGTATAAAATCAATTTAAAAAATGTGAACATTTAATTAGCTATATATATATAATATGAGAAGTTTTTATAAGGTCTTAGACTCTCCCTTTGTTGCCCTAGTGGCTTGGGGAGTAGCTCAATCTACCCTGGGGCCAAGCACAGCAAATTATGTAACTTCTGACCATAGTCCAACTCACGGTCAACAAACTGATTCTGAATTGCCTGGAACAATTCTTCACTACTGTGTTTCATATCCTACATTTGAAAATCTAAACCCTCATCCCACCACCCCACTCTCTCTGAGGTAGAAAGTCTGGTCCTTCTTATCTGGAATACCAATTATCAAGAGTGGGGAAAAACTCAACATACAGTTTTTATATATAAAAGCCAATTACAAAAAGTAAAATCTGCCGAAACCGGTTTGGCTCAGCGGTAGAGCAGCGGTCTGCGGACTGAAAGGTCCCAGGTTCGATTCCGGTCAAGGGCATGTACGTTGGTTGCGGGCACATCCCCAGTAGGGGGTGTGCAAGAGGCAGCTGGTCAATGTTTCTCTCTCATCGACATTTCTAGCTCTCTATCTCTCTCCCTTCCTCTCTGTGAAAAATCAATAAAATATATTTTTTTAAAAAAAGTAAAATCTTCTTGCTGAATGAAGAATATAGAATATATAAGTGAAATCACATAAGCATTAGAAAATGAATTTTTTAAATTTTGAGAAGAGAGCCTGTTTAAAACAACAAAGACAACAGGTGCCATCTGAGCTGCCCCTCTATGCAGCACAGAGGAAATGAATCATTACCCCCTCCCCACCAAAAAAAAAAAAAAGCCCTGCAAAATAGTAATCTATAACACAATAAGATACTCTGGAAAAAAGCAACCAAGAGGACATATTTATCAACCATCTATCTTAATGTCTTCATAATTTATAATAAAACATCTGAAAAACAATGTCACCAGTATTATCACTTGATAGACCAAAATAAATCACTTAGCAAAACCTCTTGCTTGACTCACTTATTTCGGAAGGTCCATCTACACTGACACTGCAAACATTTGAACAACAGAAACTAGGGACCAGGCTTTGATAAACCAAATGGTCTGCCATCCTCTCATTCTTTTCTTTTCTTTTTTTTTTAATATATTTTATTTTTTTTATACATATATATATATATATATATATATTTTTTTTTTTTATTTTTTTTTAATATATTTTATTGAGAGGAAGGGAGAGGGATAGAGAGTCAGAAACATCGATGAGAGAGAATCATCGATCAGCTGCCTCTTGCACACCCCCTACTGGGGATATGCGTGCAACCAAGGTACATGCCTTTGACCGGAATCGAACCTGGGATCCTTCAGTCTGCAGGCCGACGCTCTATCCACTGAGCCAAACCGGTTTCGGCTATCCTCTCATTCTTTCAGTGTCACATTGCAAGTGTTAAAGGGCAAGGTTAACAGATGATCCTATAAATATGCATATGTTATCATTTCACAAAATGTTTGTGACTGTCCATCTGGTTTTATAAAATACATTCATAAAATATATTCGCACATATATAAATTTCAATATAAGCATACATCTATGTGTTAGTGATGTAAACTCTGGGTGGTAAGATGACCAATGTTTATAGTTTTTAATTTTTTAAATATTTTCATATCTAAAATAATTTTCTTTTTCTCTTTTTCCCCAAACCCCTGCCTGCCTCTTTGGGCAAAAATATGGTAAAAAAAAAAAAAAAAAAAATCCGGTAAGTTCCAGGAAATGGACAAAATGGGTTTTAAGACAAAAGCATAAATCACAATGGGCTTTCTTTTCTCCCTGCGGATTTTCCTTACCTGCTGATGCAGTATTCTCTGTCACCAGGGATGCCCAAGTAACGTGGCCTTTCACCGGTAGCAATGAGAAATCTCTCTGCTGAGTAAATTTTCTCTTTGCCTTTGTTATTCGTTGCCTACAAAGGAACCAAAATGTCCGCTTTTAATAGTTCTCAGGACATAGAACTATCACTTCACCACATTGTCCAACTTGACCCTCATATAAATCTGGTAATATCTGAGTAATTAAAGGTCACAACGCCAATAAACAGCAGAGCCAGGACTCAAACCCAGATGGTGTGGCCCTGAATCTAGTTCTCTTACTCTACACACCACAGAAGAAAGCCCTAAAGGAGAGGTGACGGCAAAATCACCACACAGGACGCTCTGGGCCACAGTGGCCGTCACTTCCGTTACGATGATCCCCTTCTCCTTGCCTCCCATACCTCCAACCAAAGCTTCACACAAACCAAAAGAAGCTCCGAGGCTGTCACGCGGTTACCTTAATCCTATGAGGACCCACAAACCGCCCGTAGGCGTTCTCATAGGTGACCTTCTTCTCCCGCAGGGCCACGCGGTAGCCCCAGTTCAGAGAGCCGATGTGGTTCTGCACGGCTTCGGTCATCTTCCCCCAGTCGTGTCCCACTGCACAGGAAATAAGACAGACACTCAGCCTTCCGCCTGCCTGGCGGAGGTCGTTTCTCAGAAACTGTTCACATGGAATACAAAGAGCAGGGTTTTTAGTTGAAAAGGGCCAGTCCTTCATTTCGAGCCATAAGCCACCTTTTAGTCTTCAAATATTCTTTCCTTTTTAGAAAAGCTATCAGGATACTAAATAATGCAAGGCTTCCTGGCAATTCGTAAGACTAAAATAACTATTCTCAACATTTTTCTTCTTTATCTAGAAATGAATGGGAATCTTTTTTAAAAATATATATATATATATTTATAGATTTTAAAGAGGAAAGTAGAGAGAGAACAAGAGACAGAGAGATAGAAACATCAATGATGAGAGAGAATCATTGGTAGATAAGCTGCCCCTTGCAGGCCCTCTACTAGGACCAAGCCCACAAATCCAGGTATGTGCCCTGACTGCACCAAGATCTTCTGGTTCACCAGTCCATGCTCAACAACTGAGCAGCACTGGCCAGGCTACTTCTCTTTAAAAAATAAAATAAAATAAACAAAAAATAGAATATTTAAGCAAACCCCAGACACCATTTTATTGGTGGTGATTTTGGCTTAGTTATAGTGACTCAGGGATGCCCAAGGGCCAGTAATGCTAAATATCCTTCACTACAGTTCCTTACTGGCCCAATGTGCCAGTGTCATTAACACCCCCGAGAAGAAAAACTGGCCTAGATTAAAGGGAAGATTCACTTTGAAATTTTATAGTTGTAGAACTACTAAGTGAACTATAGTCTGCTAATCCTATAGGAGATACCACATTCTAAAAGAAGACATAGTTGAGATTAAATAACAGCACCAACAAGTTCAGTTATTTCAATGACAGAAATCCAAATTCAATTATTAGGCCTGACCCAATCTCAGTCAGCCTTCCTTTGTTGCCGTCAGATCCCCCGATTCCCAAACTCCTCAAACTCCCTTTTCTACCGAGTTCCTTCACCCTCTGACAAGGGGCTAGCCAACCATCATCCATCCCCAATCTCTATAGCGTGATTTCAATCAGGCAGAAGGATTTTAAAAGTTCCGCCCACCAGTTGGGATTCAGCATCAAGGCACTCTAGCTGCTCCTATGTCCTGACCTTGCATTCCAGTCTGGGAACTGAGTTTCTGGTCTTGTAAAACCCAAATTCCTACTCTACAAGCTGGTGGTGGTCACTGGATCCTTGTTGGACCATTGGTTATAACATTCCTTGAACCCCGGTTCTCCAGGGCTGTCCTGTCTTCTGATAATGCCTCAATCCACCACCTTCAATGGATAAAAATTTCTAAATGGTGTAATAAGGAACTAATGAATGCACTGCCTTCCCAAATATTACTTGGATACGCCACAACCCCACACTCACCCATCTGCTGGCATAGGCCAGCATTTCTCCAATTCCACTGGCCTGCTCTACCAGCTGTAACCCAATGAAGGACGAATGGCCTGCCCAAGGCCACACACTAACCCAGTGGCAAACGCAGACACAGTGTATGTGCAAAGACAGGTGTGTGGTAGGAGAATCTATCCCAAACTGCAAGCCCCGGATTGCAAACCAGAGCTTGCTTTCTTTGTATTGACAATGGGACTCTAAAGCTTCCCAAATATTTAATATTTTACAGATACACTTAATTCTTAAACGTAAGAGGATTCAAAGAGAGAAATCTTTAAAAATAGAAAGCCTATAAATCTTCCAGAAAGGACCAATTCATCGAATTTACATAACTGATTTCAAGTAATTTTTTTAAGGCCTTGGACGCTTTGTGCACAGTCTCCATTTGGAGCTTCAGGGAAACGGCAGATCACAGGCTGCGTCCTGCAGGTGTCACTCCCCTGTCACCAGGCAGATTCAGCTGTGCTGCCTGGCCAAGGTCCCTGTCCGTCACCACACTGGGAGCCATTTGCAGTGACAACAAAGGCCCTTCCCAGAAAACTGAGCCCTGTTCTTTGTTCAAGGACATGCGATTAGATGTGTTTCTATTCGAAAAAGGCAAAATGAGTCTTCTCGGTATCTGTTGGGAACATGACTCAGCAGTCTCTAGGGGATTCTCATCTGAAATGACACCTCCAAATTTCCTTCTTCCGCTAAGACCTAACGACATAAACATTTGTCTAAATCCACTAATTCTTCACAATCATTTTGAACACAAAAAGGAGGGGAGTAATTACTGCTCCCTCAGAGGAGGATCCTGACAGGCCACTGGGACAAAGCCCGTGCGCCTCTGGCTCTCACAGCGAGGCCTCAGCCAGCTTCAGAAGGGCCCAGGCTTAATGAGAAAAGCTGAAGATAACAATAAGCAACCTCCACACTTCCATTTAGAAACAGTGAAGGGATTTAACGACAAAGACGGGGATTGCTTTTGTGGCTGACAATACAAGCGGTAAATAGAAAACTGTACATTTCTACTTTAAAATATGGAAAGGGAGAAGAAACACAAAAGAGGTAAAACTTAAATTGGTTGGATAATTTTTGTAAGGATGACAAATAAGATAACCTTGAATTAAATTTTAACACCCCCCCCCATGAAATTCAGGGAGCTTTTGCTGTTCAGATGTGGGCTATGCTCGTGGTGGCTCTTACTTCCCCTGATGTAGAGCATTTATTAGTTCCTTATTATATCATTTAGAAATAAATTCAACATAAAAAAATAGCCAGTGCTTATTATTATAACAGAACGGTCACAGAGACATTCTTTTGCTGGAAAGAAGATTTATCAAATTTACCAGTTATATTTTCCCACCCACCTGATTAATGAATCTATTAAAATAATATTCAGTTGGCCCTATTAATAAAATTTACATTCAGCAGAGGCTGATACTTATCTCTTATCTTTTTAAGATCCCAAAGACCCAGGAAGCAGTCGCCTAAGAGTCTGAGGAAAGAGAGATGACCCCAGGAAAACTTTTAAAGTAACTGGTTTTCTAAGATTCCAGACTTGGAAAAAAAGCTGATTTTAAATGAAAAAGAAAAGCATCAATAAAGGAAGCATGACTAGTTTGAGTGGAAGCAAACATTTTCAAAGCATGCATGTAGGCTTTTTCAAAAAAAATAATCAACTATTAATTAAAACTAAAAAAAAAAAAAAAAAAAGCCACAGAATAATTTACCCTAGCTATTGGATGAAAGATTCCCTTCAAATGTCTCATAACCCATAGGTCTCAGAGCTACCGTGTTTCCCTGAAAATAAGACATCCTCCAAAAATAAGACCTAGCGCATGGAAAGATAAGACATCCCCTGAAAATAAGACCTAGCGCAACTTAGGGAGAAAAAATTAATAAAAGACACTGTCTTATTTTCGGAGAAACGGTAAAATCAGATAGGGGCTGGAGTTCACTCTCCACGGACACAGTGATATAGGTCATTAATTGCCATGAACTATGCCTGGCCTCATATTATTCTCCTACCAGATAAAGTCAACAAATTCCTCTTCAACTTTTCTAGGGTACTCTAAATACTTTTTTAAAAATAGGCTTTTACTGATTTTTAGAAACAAAGTGAGAGGCATAAAGAGATACAAACATCTATGAGAGAAACATCATCAATTGGCTGCCTCCTGCATGGCCCCTATTGGGGATCAGGCCAGCAACCCGGGCATGTGCCCTGACCAGGAATCAACCCAGTGACCTGACCTATTAGTTTATGGGTCAATGCTCAACCACTACGCCACACCAACCAGCTCCAAATACTTACAATCTGACAAAGACCAATCATCCTCTGCTCAACAAACAAGCCATCTCTCCATGCCCAAAATATCACCTCATGAAACAGACTTCTTTGAACCGAGAAAAATGTAACAGCTTCAAAGGCAAGTAAATGTAATTCGTACTCCTCTATGAAACTCTCTATCAGGATTTCTTTAAAAGAATTCTGGTTTTCTAGTAAAGAAATAAACTCCAAGTGCAACAGCTGTTCTTACCGTAATAGCTATGTCGCCACCTGACACAGGATAACAGCAGGAATTTTAAACATTAAAAATGTAAACAACAAAAACTTACAGGTTATTGCTAGTCTCATAAAAATGATGTTCTGCAAGATCACAGCTCAAACCCCCCAGAGCACTAAGGGAGCAACAGCTTTTCCCCCATACCGGTCTCCTCCACATTCCAGCCATAGTTCCGAGAGTCCCGCACGGCCTGTCCTAGCAAAGCTGCCTGGTGCATCAGCTTCTTCGGTATGCAGCCCACATTCACACATGTTCCTCCGAGACCTGCAACAACAGGGAGAGATCAGTTCACGACCTGCTTTACAATCCTTCAAAGAAAAAGATCCACAATTATTGCCAGTCTATGAACCACAATTTATTTGCTTAATGTAGCCAATACTGTGTATACAAATTTATTCCTCAGTCTTGTGACATTTCTAAGTTCAGGTAGCCTTATATACCAAACACAGACACATCAGAAAACGCAAAAATGAGCAAATATCCACAGGCTTCAAAGATTCAAAATTAATTGCCTACTAATAAAGATGTCAGAAATTGAAATTTTACTTTGTGTACAACCCACACTTGCCACGGAATCTATGAGCAGAACTACCTGATAAAGGGGTTGTGAAACTGAGCATAATTGAACTGAAGTGGTCTGGAACTACATAAAAAATTTGGTGTATATGAGCATTTTATAAACTGCATTTTTATTACTATTTTATCATTAAGGAATCCACCTCTATGACTATCACGAAGCCCATACTGGGTTAACAGCGACATGTTCCAGAGGTAACTATCCCCTACTTTGGACTTGCTAGTTATAACCACTATCTTCTTTCTCTATCTCAAACGAAAGCCCAGATTCCTGAGGCCTCAGTCCTTGCCCTCCTATTCCCGAAAACGCCAAAGCCGACTGTGAGAGGCTTTTTCAAAGGAGACCACTCAGTCCTCCCAGAAGACAAATCCTCTACTTTACTTTATGAGGCAGATAGCAACTCCAAACCACGGTCAGGTTGGGACCTGCGCAGGCCTCAATATTTGAGCAAGTTTTAAAGAAGATGGCGTGGTCTTTAGCTTTTGCTGATTCTCACAAAAGAATTCATTAAGTCCTGGCTGGTTTGGCTCAGTGGATAGAGCGTCGGCCTGAGGACTGAGGGTCCCAGGTTTGATTCCAGCCAAGGTCACATGCTGGGTTGCAGGCTCGATCCCCAGTAAGGGGCATGCAGGAGGCAGTCGATCAATGATTCTCTCTCATCTTTGATGTTTTTCTATCTACCTCTCCTTCTCTCTTCCTCTCTGAAATCAATAAAAATATATAAAAAAAAGAATTCATTAAAAAATATATATACATTAGCATGCTTGAGTTTAAAACATGGTGAAGGCTATTTGATGCATCAGCTATCTCCATGAGAGTAATATGTAGGTGGGTGGTGAGGTGAACAAAATGGTATGAGTTAGCTTTGAATCATCACACAAGCTGTGGACAAGGTTTTGTATAATCTTGACTTCCAAGGAATCTAAATTTTCAACATTTAACTGGAACCCATTTTAACACAGCATAAGTAAAAGGTATATGTTTTGGGGTTTGTATTTTTAATTGATTTGAGAGAAAGGAAGAGAGAGAGAAAAATATCGATGTGAAAGAAAAATATGGATTGGTTGCTCTCCACACACCCCGACCAGGGACTGAACCCACAATCTGAGTATGTGTCCTGACCAGGAATTGAACACTCCACCTTATGGTGTACAGAATAGATGATGCTCCAGCCAACTGAGCCACACTAGCCAGGGCTGGGTGTTTGTTTAATTTTTAATTTATAATTGGGTTTTAGGAGCCATTTAAACCAATACCAAGGAAAAACCTGCTCCTACAAATATTCATTTCTAAAATATTTTATATACTTACCCCATTTAGTTCCAAGAGGAGTTGGAGTGACAAAATCTAAGACCATCACCTTCTTGTTATATTTAGCTGCCTCCTAGAAAATAAAATTATTATAATGAGTTGGAAAAGTTAACATGATAGACTAGAAATGGGATGTTAAAAAATCCATCTATTTTTATTACACTGCAATGTCTAAAGCATAACCAGTTATTAATACCTTAGAATTTCATACTAGTATACCAAAATTAGTGCTACCTCAAGAAAAAAACTAAGCAATACTGCCAAAACCGGTTTGGCTCAGTGGTAGAGCGTCGGTCTGCGGACTGAAAGGTCCCAGGTTCGATTCCGGTCAGAGGCATGTACGTTGGTTGCGGGCACATCCCCAGTGGGGGGTGTGCAAGAGGCAGCTTGTCGATGTTTCTCTCTCATCGACATTTCTAGCTCTCTATCCTTCTCCCTTCCTCTATGTAAAAAATCAATAAAATATAAACAAACAAACCAACATATAAACAACAACAACTAAGCAATACTTAGATAATCCTAAGGGTGGCTTTAAGAACACACAAATTACAGTTATAAAATTGTCCATCAATTGGAAATCTTAGCATCCTCTTATATAATTCCACACAAACAATAACAAATTAAGGGATAATCTGAAAAACATATGACCATTTCAAAGCTATGTTGCCAATAAAACAGATTTACTGATAGTTTACAACTCTTGAACCAGTTTATATCCTATAAAAAATATATACTTTTAAAAATCTTTTTAAGTTTTACTTGTTTCTAGGCAGAATGTTGGAGAAGTTTTTCTTTTAAATTTGTCAGATTTACTTATGTGAGGACCAATGAATAAGGTGATCTATAAGACTTCCAAATCTATTTTAGGGGAGTGACAATTGTCAAAAGTTCATCTTGAAGAGCATCCTTTATCTCTGTCACAGAATAAGCTTTGTGTATTGGCAACTAGACATCCAAGGTTATTTGAAAGTACTGAGTCTATGTGTCCTCCAAAACTAACATCACTTCAGTAAAATACATATACACAATACTAGGTCTTAGTCATTTATAGCAAAGCACTGCTTAATACCAGATATTGGCCTATTCAAACATTGGACAGCTTCCTTTGAATCTACTTTTACTGATTCACCACAAGCTACAAGAAGTATAAGCACCCCATCTTTTAAAAGAACCTCTTCAGCAAGAATGATAGTTCCAAGGGCCCCTTCACACATGGCGAATGAATCTCAATTCAGGACTAGCGATCTCACACCAACCTCTCTTATTTGTAATCCTCTACCTACCACCCCCAGGCCAGTGTTAGTGGTTACTCTCTTAGCTCACAGTATATACACAAGAGGCAAATCATTTTTACTGAGTTTAAGAAATCTAACCACTCTCTCCATCTTTTTATAGTGGAAGAGGAGATGTGAATAGGAACATCAAAGTGAAAAAAAATTAATATTTATTAAGAATAAGAAATATATTTAATTTCAAACCATTTCCATACAACACCCTTATTATCTTTGAAAAAAATCAACCAAACTTAAAACGAATAAAAATGCATCCCAACAATACTAGGCCCAGTACTTTCATGTAAAGAACATATAGTTCAGCCCGGACCGCGTGGCTCAGTGGTTGAGCATCGGCCTATGAACCAGGAGGTCAAATCTAATTCCTGGTCAGCCCACATGCCAGTGTTGCGGGCTTGATGCCCAGTGTGGGGAGTGCAGGAAGCAGCCCATGAATGATTCTCTCTCATCATTGCCCCCACCCCCCTCTGAAATCAATACAAATATCTTTTTTTCTTTTTTTTTAAATAAAGAACATCTAGTTCAAGCTGGAAAAATGATTTACAAAGTTTCCCCTTAACAAGTTCTACCAAGTTAATGTGCAAAATGTTACAAAAGTGGCTCAAACCAATTCCACAGCGACTCTGGAGAACTGCAGTAACCCACATCACGCACACCAAGACTTGCCTTAGCAGCGGCCAGTCCTCCGGAGCCCCCTCCAATGATGATGAGATCATAGTCGTAGGACTCCGCAGGGTCCTTAGAGCCGTTCATGTTTAGTAGCTTTTGAAGTCTGCCCTCTTGATAAGCCTAAAGAACAAAAACAATGAAAGGGAAAATAGTTTAACTTACAGGCAGCAATGTCTGAAGGGTTTTTTGAAATTCCTTTCTTTAAAGAAAAGAAAAAGGAATTTTTCAAAGAAAAAATGTTGTTTGATTTATATCACAGCACACAAATGAAACTTTCAATCTTCTCGCATCACAGAGAGCTACTCAGAAGTGTCACGTAAGTAAGGTGCTGATGGCCCAACAAAATCGATTTAGACCTAAATTAAATTTGATCCGTCCTTTTGTCCTAGTTTTTTTTTTTTTTTTTTTTTTTTTTTTTTTTTTTTAATATTGAAGAAGCATCTTAGGATTGTTCTTTATATATTTTTTTTAATTATTTTAATTTTTTTATTTTATTGATTTCAGAGAGGGAAAGGGAGAGGCAGAAACAACAATGAGAATCATTGATTGGCTGCCTCCTGCATGTCCCCCAATGGAGATCCAGCCCACAACCTGGGTATGTGAAATTGACCAGAATCGAACCTGGGACCCTTCAGTCTGCAGGCTGATGCTCTACCCACTAAGCCAAACCAGCTAGGCCTAGGGCATATCCTAGAATTTTTAAACTAGGTTTTAAATTAGGTTTTGAAACATTTGTGCTGTATGTTTTTAATAGGGTCATCAATACAATTTGTCAATCATCTTTATTTTCAAGTCAAAGGTAGAATAGTGTGTGGGCTAGGGTTTCAGGTGAAGATAGGGGCCTGGTGATGAGCCATTGAAACAGATTAGCCAAATACTTAAGACTTTTCTATATTGTTTAGGTAAGGCATAAAATCTAGAAATTCAGAACTAAATCATCAGTTGGACAAATGGAAAAGTCCCTACTTCTGCTGGGCATTTTAAATAAAAAAAGGAGGAGGGGAATAAAAATACACAACTCTATAAAGCTCATTTCTTTAATCTACCTATACATGGAGCCCCCTGTACTGTATTCAGTATTTACATTCCATATACTTGGCACATAACAGGCTTTATAATATAACTGTCAGACTTTTAATATAAAAATATATTTCATTCCCCTGGTTTTTATACACATTATTTATCATTTCACATTAGCTTTGAATACAGTTTTGGTGATATACTTAATATTATCTTTCATTAAAATAAAAATCTGTGCTAATATGGGATAATAACTGGAAAAGTTAATAAGCATAAAAAAAGTTTTTTAAAAAACAAGTTTTAACCTTAATACAAAAAAAAGCCCCCAAACTTACCAGCCTAGACTTTACATTTTTCTCCTGCCTACCTCAGATGTTGGGGGTGAAAGGCTGAGCTTGGGGTCAGAAGAACAGGATGCTTGGGATGTGGAAGGGGGTGCAATAGAGGAAGATGGTGGTGGTGATGGTGGTGGTGGTGGTGGTGGTGGTGGTGGAGGAAGAGGAGGAGGAAGAAGAAGAGGTGGAAGAGGAGGCACGGCACTGGGGCTGCCCCATGGCAGCATGGCAGGCACACAGGATGGCCCAGGGACGCAAGGCAGAACACCTGGAACCCAGCACCAGTGGGGACAAGTCTGCGTGACCCTGATGGTCTGCACAAAAGGTCTAACATGAGAGGCTGGCAGACACAGCCAGTATTCCTCAACCGGCATTATGGCAGAGGCTCCTCCTTCAGCACAAGGCACTGTGGGGGGAAAACAATTTGGTAACAATAGCCACTCAGATCAAAGGATCCATATAATCTTCAGATAGCAAGCATTACTCTCGTTGGTATCAAAGAGCATAAAGCTAGAAAAAAATTTTTTAAAAAGAACATAAAGCTGACTTGCTGGTCTGAAAGAATTTGTAAATGCATTTAGATGTTCTTCTGGAAAATAATCATTTTTAATCTCAGCCCCATTTTATCTGCATCTACTCTACACAAAAATGCCAGATCACAATCACTGGCTGTCTAAAAGAAAACCACCCATTCTTGCAACCACCTTTCCCAACATAGCTATTAGAGCAAGGGAGGGGGAGGGGGAGAGAAGCAGCATTATCATGCCACATACTTCCTCCAACAATGTTTATAATCTGGTCTGTGCTGAAATTTTGTATCAGACCTGGGTTCTTATGGTCCAAGGTTAAAGTCAAATTATATCAGCCAGTGCACAGACTTTACAAAGCAAGCTCTGAGAGAGCCTGAACATTTTCAACTGTGTGAAATTAGAAAGACGGGCAACTGAAGCACTCAGCTACCCCAGAACTAAACATGATGTCTTCAAATTTTAATCTAGATTAAAAGCAACACTGCTGTCATTCAGCTCCAGGTAAGTGGTTCCCTCTCTGAAATATAAACAGAGAAGACAGCTCCGCCAGGCAATGTAAGAAAGGAGCATACAGACTGGGTAAGCAGACTAGAGAAAAATGCTCTCCCCTTTCACCTTAAATTACAACTGCTAGAAATAGTGGCTGCTAATCACAGCAGCTGATACAGAAGAGTTCTCCAACTTTTTAGTCTCAGAATCCCTTTACAATTTAAAATTTTTAGAACCCCAAAGAGCTTTGGTCAATGGGGTTTATTTATAATATTTATCAATATTAAAATTAAGAAAATATTTAAAATATTATAAGTTATTAAATATCTTAAATGTTAAACATAACTTATTTAAAACATTTTTAGTTGGCAACAGTGGCATTGTTTTCTATCTTGCTAATTTTCTTTAATGTCTGTCTTAATAAAAGGCAGCCCATATCTTTTCTGTGTCCACTCTATTGTCATGCATGTAGCCTCTGGAAAACTTTATGATAGTAGACTTGAAAGAAAATTAGAGTGAAAAGGACAAACAGTATCTTAGTATTACGAAGATATTTTTGACCTCAAGGACTTCCTGAGAGAGCCTCAGAGGCCCCTGAAGGAATCCAGACCTCACTGAGAGCCATGCTATCCTATAGCATAAAAGCCTAATATGCAAATTGTCCCCTCGGGAGTTCAACCGCTCACTATGACGTACACTGACCACCAGGGGGGTATCGGCCAGGCAGTGGACAGCAGTGGAGGCGCTGCCAACCCCGATGTGCCCCAACAAGAGCAGGACCATGGTGGGATGCTGGAGTAGCTGAGCGGGCAGTGCCAGGCCAAGGTGGGTTCGAGTGGAGGCAGCAGTGGGCGGGGCCACCACCCAGCTCCCAGGTGCTGAGGGAGCCAGGTGGGGGACCTGGCCCAAATCGATCGTCCCACAGGTGGAATGGTGGAGCAGATAAGGGGGTGGCACCAGGCCAAGGTGGGGTGCCAGGCAGGGCTGCAAGCACAAACTGGGGCCCGATCCCCGCAGGCTATCCAAAGACCCCACCTGTGCACGAATTCGAGCACTGGGCCTCTAGTAGGATATTAAGTGTAAATATGCAACACCCCACCTGCAGGTGTTTGCCAGGCTTACATATGTATTAGCTATTCTTTCCTCTCTTCCATCTGCCTCTCAGTAATGTTTTTCCCCCTCCCAGTATAACACTGCTCCAGATTCCCCTTAAAAAGGCCAAAAGCAATTCAAGTGTGCAAAAATAATACCGAAAGCAATTCAAGTGTGTAGAAACAATATTTTAGCCCAGAGAAACTTATTTTGGACTTCCAAACTCCAGAACTGTAAAAGATAATTGGTTTTAAACCACTAAATGGTAATCTGTTATAGAAGCAACTGGAAACTAATACACCCAGTAAAATACAAATTCCATGAGAGTTGGGTCATATTCTGTCCACCACTTTTCCCCTAGTGCCTAGAGCAGTGCTGGCACAGCGGGCACTCAAGTAGTTGCTACGTAAATCAACAAAGCCCCAATTCCAATCGCTTGGTAATGGATTTTCTAGAACAAAGGAAGACCTGTCTAAACTTTGAAAAGTGACTAAACCATGGCAGAGATGGTCCCCATGAGAGGAGGTGGCAGCATGGACTTTCTAACCCTGGTCTGGAGAATGAGGCACCAAGAGGAGTGCTCACGGTGAGCGATACGGTGCTGCAGGGGATGGGGTGGGGTCGGGGTGTGTGTGTGTGTGTGTGTGTGTGTGTGTGTATATAAACGTGCACACTTGTGCGTACGTGTATTCCAATTTAATTCTCACAACAGTCTTCCAAGAAGATGTCTTTCCCATTTAAGAAATGACAATATAGAAGCACTAGAGATTAAGATCCTTGACCATGAACTAAGAATGGAATTCAAGTCTGTATGATTACAAATCTCTTGCTTTTCTCACTATATACCCAGTTGTTCATATTTTAAAGTACCGGTCACATACATTTTCTAATTTTATCCTTACTGTAAACTTGAGATAGGTATTATTTTCACTTAGTAGTAAAAAACAAACCAAAACAACAACAACAACAAAAACAACTAAGGTTTACAGGTTCAATAATTTGCCCAAAGTCTCTCTAGAATGTTAGAGGATCAGGATCTAATCCCAGGTTATTCTATCAGAAAGTGGTTGTTACATAACAAAGTTCTAGTAAAAAAAAAAAAAATTGCCATAAGACCCCAAACCTTCACATTCTCTATTATTGCTTTTAGTCATCACTAAGTCTCAAATACTTCTAGTAAAGACACTAGGCATTTAACAGAGCAATCTGGTGGCAAGTAAAGAGCGCGCGCGTGCGCGCGCACACACACTTTTTTTTTTTTTTTTTGCTGTCATTTTAAGAGTATCTTTTCATCAAACAGCCAATCTCTGGAAACTAAGGCTCAACTGGTAGAAACAGGCTAAGGTGATGATAAGTGAAACCAAAAGATGCTTTCCTGACCTCTAAGTAAAAAGGTGGTAGACGACCAGGAAGGGTCAGCATTCCTTCAAAATTCTGTGTGAGAACTAATCTGTCTATATTATGAACTTGTGGGGAGATCATGACATGCAGAACCTCCATACAAACTAACTAGGAAATCTAACATTCATTTGTTAGGAAAATAATTGGACAAGTTTCATAAGAAATTTCTATTTCTGATAAAAAAAAGAAAAAAATCTTCACTATTATTTAAAAAAAACACAAAAACCTTACCCACACATATAAAAACCTCTCCTCTCAATCTTGATGTCATTCATTTAGTCTTTGGATTTTCCCTCTCCATACCACACTAGACTTAATAGAAAAATTTATCACTATTGCTATGCAAAATACGTATCCACCTGCCAAATAATGATTAATGGCAAAACCCACCAGTACCAAAGATTAAATTCCTACAGGGTTCAAGAAAAGAAGCTTACAGGCATGCTCACTGCACCTTCAAAACTATTTTCTTACAAACCCAAATTTTCAGAAATTACCTCCAAATAAGGCATTGATTTATATTTGAAAAAGAAAAAAGAGCATTTATGGCTTTATGAATAAATTAATCAATTATTTCAGTTGAAACAGGGGCAGTTCCAGGAATTGAAAGCCCTATTAAAAAATGCACAAAATGAACTGAGAACAGATATTCAAGGCTGTTACATAATAACACCTCACTGATTTCTGAAGGACACACAGTGTACCAGCAGAAATTACAAAGAGAAACTAGGAGCCGAAGAAGAAATTAACCAAGCAGATAAAGACTAGAACTAGATGTTGAAAGATTTTGTTTGAAATAATCTAACAAAAATACCTTCTACCTCTGAGAATACTAACAGAAAAGGTGATTCATTTTTGCCCAGCTTAACATTCAACTGGAATAGTTTTCAAAAAGATATTACGGCTCTCGAATGCCATACACCTCTCACAATTCCCTATATTTGGCCTCCATGTCAAGTATACCGTTCCTATCTGTGACCAATCCTATTCAACCTTTCACCACTTAGTTGATACCTCATCTACTACAGTAGATACTGTATTTCTTTTGATCTAATCATGGGAGAATTATTTAGAATGTGGGTACCCACTAAGTAATCTTACTGATTCTTCCTGGCAATGAAGCAAGGCACCTGTGTTTTTGTTTGTTTTTACAATGATAGCATTGCACATTCATTGCCCTTAGGCGGTGTTTCTTTAATTCAGCATTTTTTAACCCACTTTCCCCCCAACCTGATTAGGAGTCCCATATGGGATTCTCTTGGTTCCCTGGAACAGAGGGATACAATATCACACAGCATAACTGATGTTTTTTTTGCAAATTATAAAATACCTCTTAATTTGTGGAACTTGGAGCTGAATTTTATTAGTAAAGTCTTAAAGGACATTCAAAACAATTTCCATGAACATGCCAGTGATTGTTTTTAAATAACAGAAAAGATCATGACAACTTTATAATCGACCAAGAAAAATACACTGCACAGTAAGACAAATTCTGATCTTGAAAATATTTTCTCACTTTATAAGATACAATATGGGCTTCTATTTAGGTTTTACACTCTGAGATGATGCTTTAGAAAAGCCACAAAATGCATCCTATACTAAGACAAAAACATTCAGTAAGAGCTTGTGATCATAGCCTCTGAAATTTCAAAAGTCGCCACAATATTCTTCCAGTCCTGGAGACTCAAAGATATAACTCCTTGTTTCCTGCCATGGTAACTGGGGTCATTTTCCTCACCCGCTTGGTTAACATTAATTGGCTCTAATATCGGCAGCCTGTCTTGATCAAGCCTTATTCTCGCAAAGCCATCCCTTATAATGAAAGAGACGTAGAATATATTCTCCACGGTGCGAGAAAAAGAGTTTGGATCAATCACAAACTCAAAATAGGACACAGGAGTGTCAGGGTACTTTCGGAAATACGTCTGCAACAGCCCCAAGATTCTTTCCACTTCCTTTTCTGTCCCTTCTTGATTGCTGCTCAGGTCCAGCCTCCTGAGCTTGGTGGGCATATCCACATTTTCTTCCACCCTGAGGGCCTTTTTATGGGGCCCAGGTCGTCGCTTCGGGGCAGAAGACTCGGAGTTGAAAGAACCAAAGAGAAAGTGGAAGGTTTCGGCGCGCGATGTCCAGGCGGTGGCTTCCCGGTGCACCGTCTCCCAGAAGGAGAGGACTATGTTGTCATCACAGCCATTCAGCGCTTCGCGGTCGTCGTCTTCCATCCAGTTCAGACCCACAAAGATAAACAGAAAATCACAGAATGCTACCTGATTAAAGAAGCTCATATCCGAGTTGAGCTGCTTGGCCTTCTCTTTGCCCAGATCGGAGGCCAGGACGAGAAACTGGGCGTCGAGCGCCGCCTCCCTGGTGCGGCTCACGCCATCGAACAGGACGTTGGCCTCCTCCAGCGCCTCGGTCAGGGAGTCGCTGGACGTGTTCACGATGTCCTCCCGGTTCTGCTGGACGTTGTAGATGAGCTGCCGGTACTGCCTGCGGATGTTGCGGCATTTCTCCTCGTCGGCCACGAGCAGCAGGAGGTTGGGGTCGATGTGGGCGGCCGCGCAGCTCAGGTGGTCGGAGCAGTCCTCGGAGCAGCAGTCCGAGAAGCCCTCGGCCGCCAGCGCCGCCTCCAGCTTCAGGGGGTCCAGCTCCCCGGCCCGCGCCAGCGAGAACGCGCTCCTGGGGAGGAGGGCACACGCCACCGGCTCCTCTCCTTTCTCCTCATCCCCCCTCGGGGAATCCTGCTCATCAGACATGTCGGTGGCAGCGGAGCTCGGGCTGCGCTCGGCTAGCGGCCTGCGTGACGTTTCGCACAGACAACGGCGGCGGCAGCAGCAGTCAAAGGCCGGCGGCAGGCAGAGCGGAGACAGAGCAGAGGCGTCCGCCTCTGCGCAGGGGCGGCGGCGTCGCAGGAGGCCCCGCCCTCGCCCCTCGCCGGCCCCGCCCCTCGCCGGCCCCGCCCCGCAGAGCCAGGCGCAGGGCCTGCAGAAAGCCCACCTCGCGCAGTACCGCGCCGCGCACAGAACGCACACACGCAACAATGGGTCCCAACCGCGCACGGAAAGAACACCCGTTTGGGCGATGGGAATTGTGGTAGCGTTTACGGACAGTGTCAGCTAGCTTTCAAAGAAACACCTGGGTGATCTTTGATAAAACTGGGGGGGAACTCACGGTCCTGCGTTTTTAGATTGTTGTCACATGTTGCAGTTAGGTCGACCTCGGTTTTTCATGGTTACTATGGTTATTCTTTTATTTTTTTGAGAACTAAATCTGCCTGGATTATAAACTGCCCACGCCCCTAAGGAGCAAGAATGCAAAAACCCTATTACAAGCAGGCCTAACTCCCAGGGCACATTTGCATGATGGCTGTTTGTAACTCAATTATTTATTATACAAATGCAAATTGCGTCAATTACTGTGGTGGGCCCTCTTAAGCCCTCCAAAGACCAACCGCCTCCAACCTACCTCGGGATAGGGACAGGGGGCGGGGAGCAGTCACCTGTGTTCGAATTTCAGTGCTAGAGCAAGCTGGAAGATGGGGAGAGGGGTACTACTCAAGTGATCCTCAGTTCTCCACAACCCACGGGTGGAAGAATAAAGTGAGGGCAGTCTCTGCAAGAGCTGTTTATTTGAGAGCTTGCCAAAGGCTAAAGGCCACAGACCGAATGGATAGTAATCTGAACTCTAAAAGGGGAGCAAAGCTATGAAGATTTTAAACCCAGTCTGTTATAAGGATATGCAAGTGAATGCTGTAAATTGGGTGACTAATCTAAACTGGAAAGTTCACACTAGTTCACTGGAAATTCTGGTAGTTGGAGAAAGGGCTCAGCTCAGCAGTCACGTGACTGCAAATTATACAGAACACTGGAAAGGAGTAATTTTGTTTTTAAAGATAACATGCGCTCAGCCCACAAGATAAAAAGCGTTTTATCACTGCAACAGTATTCCTTTTAAAGGAGTACACACCACACTCCATCTACCAGCTCTGGTTTCAAGGCAACCAGGAAGTAAATTAGCCCTACCTTCCATCCTTTGCCCCTAGGCTGGTTCATTTGTCTTTTTCTTTCTTTCTTTTTTTCATTGAAAAGTTAACTTTATTGTTTGGGAAATGGGAGCTTTTAACACGATTGGGAAGTGGAAGATTATATGACTATCTGTTCAGAATCCCAAACTGGGATACATGTTTTAATGGTTCATTTTTCTTTGACATTAGCAGGAAGTTTCTTGCAAACCCATGAACAGCAAAACTTAGTAAGTTATTCCAAAATATAATACTACTACTCATTTTTTTTAGTAAAGGTCATTGAGGAAGAAGCATGCATTTTTAAAAAACACCATGTATTATGATTACTTGTGCATATATATTGTTCTGCCCTATCAGACCGTTAGCTTCTCTAAAGAAAAAATGTGTTAAGTCTTCTGAGCAAAGCTGTTTTCATATGGATGCATTTTAATATATAAATGGATAATAGATGAAAAACTTTCTTCCACGACCTATTGCAAGTTACTTAGCAGCAAGAGATTTAATTTCAAATAGGAAATGAAAGTTGATGCTTTTTAAAAAGTCAGGCTTGTCCCTTCTCTGAAATAAAGCAAGAGCAAGAGAAAAACAGTTGGGACCCCCGAGCAACAAAGGGCTATATTTTGCCTCCAAGTCAGCCAATTACTAACTAATATTTAAACTTGTTTTAAATCTTCAAAGAAAACACATAGCTAATTCCAAGTCCCAAGTCCCAGACCCAAAAATGTTTGCTCTTACAGTTAACCATACTCTTGGGAGCTCCTGATATTCACTTGCAAGTCAATAAAAATAAGACAACCTTCCCACTCTAGGGTGCCTATTTTCTCTGGACTCAGAAAAAATAGCTGACACCAATTTCTTCATACAGAGCCTTTCATCTAAGAATTTCAAAATGCTTTAGAAAAGCAAATCATTTCCCCTCACCTACTTATAAAGTATTACTAATACATTTCACAGGGATTTCTCAGGAGATAACAGCCCACACAATCTGCTTGAAGCAACAGAACACAATAAGACAAAGCACCATATTATTAAGTTGTGATTTCCAGTACTAAATCCACTCTATGATAGGTCCCTGTCCCTAAGAAACCCTAGTAATACATAACTTAAATCAGCCTCAGAAAGAAGACATACTTGCATTATATTCTGCCTTCTTCAATCTGCCTTTGGAGCACAAGGTTCAGATGTCACCTCAAAGTAAAAGTTCCTTGTCTAATGACTTTCCCTAATAATTTATAGAATGGGAATTTTTACACTTGTGAATCCTTAAATCACTAAACAGCAACTTTCTAACCTAAGGTCAAGTTATTGGTAATCCTATATAATACAAGCCTAATATGCAAATTGCCCCCTAAGGCAGTACTAGTTCCAATGGGAGTTCGACTGCTCGCTATGAAGTGTGCCAACCACCAAGGGGTGGTCTGGAACATGGCGGGTGTCCGTGATGCGGTGTTGGCAGCAGGTGGCAGTGGAGGCGCTGCCAGCCGCGATGAGAGCAGGACCACGGTAGGATGGTGGAGCAGGTGGCACTAGGCCAAGGCAGATGTGAACAGAGACCAGATCGCCTGGCGGACAGTGACCAGCCATGTGTGGGGGGGAGGAGGTGGGAAGGAGGCCACCACCTGGCTCCCAGGCCTTGAAGGAGCCAGGCGAGGGCCTGGCCCCAATCGATCACCCTGTAAGCCGGATGGTGGACCAAGTGAGGGGGCGGTGCCAGGCCAAGGCCGGGGGCAAGAGCTGGGGCCCGATCTCCGCAGGCCATCCCGAGGGACCCCACCCATGCATGAATTTGTGCACTGGGCCTCTAGTAATTATATAAATGACAGCAATACACAATTGCAGTTATACTGGTAAACTTCTTTATGACTTGTAAAAGAAAGCAAAAATTCATCAATATTAGTCCAGGCAACCAACCAATGACACAACTTGGCCTCCAAGATAAGTGAGCTCCTCTTCTCCCCTTTTTCTTCTTTCAGGAGTGGCTGCTGAGGGCTCAATACGGCCCTCCATTTTCTTTCTTCGGTTTTCCTTCCTGCGTTCTTTTTCAGTCCCTTTGCTAATAGTTCAGATTCACTCTTCCCAAGCATTCTTGAGGTCTGTCCCAAACCCCCAGCGCTCAACACCAACATGATGGGATGTATGTCACAGATCACAGGCCTCTTTCTGGCCAAATAGAAAAAGAACTCAGAGTGTCCACTACCCTTTCCAGTGGGATTTTATTTCAGGATTAATCTATAACAAATAGATGTTTAAGAGTCTGAGTCTTACACTCCATGAAATAATTTGTAGAGACCACGCCCCAAGATGTTCGGGAGAGAGTTTAGGGAGCATATAAAGCAGTTCAGGGTTTTAAAGACTGTGTGACAGCAGTGTTGTCCACCAGTCAGCACTGCTCAGCAGTCTATGCAGGTGTGTCCAGCTCAGTTGAGAAGAAACTCACATTATGTCTGTTTCACTGATTGAGCACCTGTGCTTTCATGGTTTAGCTACGTATACTCTATTACTTCTAACACAGGTTTGTAGGGCAGAGAAAATAATAAAATGATATTTTCAAATTATTCTGCCTCTAGCTACCTCCCTAATAATTGTTTCTTCTCCCACCAAAGCTTTTCTCTCCTCGTCCTGCCAGGGTATCTATTTGTGGTGAAGAGACGTGGTAAAAGTCCTACTTGACTTGGAGTAGCAGGATGCTAGGATACTAGGTATAGTTTCTTTTTCTTTTTAATTTCCTTTAAGGTTATGTTTCTGAGTGTATGTTTTTGCTTTGTTTGGTTCTTGAGTACTGAAGGTAAACTGTGCTATGATCAAGGCAGTTACGTGCTTTTCCAATGGGTTTCTGAAAAGACCATGAACAGTGGAAGAAGGCAAACCTGGGTTCCAAACTTGACCTACTGGCTGTTACTGTTATCTGAGGCAGGTTGCTTAACACATTAGGCGCCCTGTCAGTCACCTGCCTACATTCTTTTTTAGTCCCTTTGCTAATACTGTTTCCCCAAAAATAAGACAGTGTCTTATATTAATTTTTGCTCCCAAGGATGTGCTAGGTCTTATTTTCAGGGGATGTCTTATTTTTCCATGAAGAAGAATACGGTACACATTTATTGTTAAATGAAAAATAAAGAAAATTTATTACCTGTATACAGTACGGTAGTACGGTAGTTGTCAACACAAACCAGACAAACTGGATCCTACAGTATCAAGAATTTACTCATTTATTCAACAACAATCATGTCATCATCTATCTGGAACATCATCATAACAATCTAATTCCTGAATTTCCTGGTGAATTTCTTGTGACTCCATTTCTTTCAGAATCAGTGGACCAAATCTCTCATGTTTAGCCTAGGGGGGGGGCTTATTTTCGGGGGGATGCCTTATTTTTCACTCAGAAGGAAACCTGTAAGTAGGTCTTATTTTCGGAGGATGTCTTATTTTCGGGGAAACACAGTAGTTCAGATTCATTCTTTCCAAGCATTCTTGAGGTCTGTCCCACAACCCCCAGCGCTCAACACCAACATGATGGGATGTCACAGGCCTCTTTCTGGCCAAATAGAAAAAGAACTCACACGGCGCCCACTATCCTTTCTAGTGGAATTTTATACTTTCCAGTGGGATGGAAGGTATGATTGACACTATATTTTCCGTCCGGAAGACAAAACCAGCTGGGCGCTTAACGTGTTAACCTCTCGGGCTCCAGTTTCCTAATTTGGAAGATGGGAATACTACTTCTTACATCATAAAGTTACTATATGTATTGAGAATTATGGGACAGATTTGACAGTATTTTCAACTGTTAAGTATGTAATAAATCTTAAATTATCCCAAGGC